CCGGGTGGAGTTCCTAGCCCTGGGAGGCAGTTTGGGCTGGCCACACAGAAAGACCCAGCCCTTACACCCTTAAGCATATCCCTGACAAGGTCAAGTAGCTCAAAGTCCTCTGACATCACCCTCACCTTAAGTAACAGAAACACATCACATCTTTCTTTATTCAGTAAATAATCTATTAAGAACTTACACTATATCCCACATTTAAACTCTAAGGCTAACACCTGATATAGAGGTTTTCCTTTGCCCACTGAGAAATGAGCATCATGCCCAATGCCAGGAATAGCACAGTGAGGGAGATGTGGTTGGTCCCATCTTCAAGGGTCTTCTGGGGGAGAAAAGATTGTCCTGATTATATGGTAGCACTCAGTTTGTGCAAAAGTAGCCTAGAAAGGGGCAGAAGTGTGTGCTGTTTAACGAATGCTCCAGCTGGGTCCTGAGGGCTGGGCAGGCAGTCTTCAAGTGAACAAGTAGAAAGATCCAGATAAAGAGAACAATTCAGAAAGAGATATAAACATTGTATTGAACTCTATCAAAATTCTGAAGCTGCTTGTAGTAGAGCTACTTGAGCTGGATCAGGTAGCACCAGATTAAAATGATCATAAATTCTTAATTCTAAATCTAAGCCCAGAAGGCATTGGATTTTGTTTTATACCAGGTTGGGGAAAACTTCAGTGCTCTTGACAGATGAGAGAATGGGCATTCAGAGAGTTCTGATGACTCTCCAAGGTCATACCAAGGCCAGAACTTGGAAGTGTTCTTCTGTGTCTTCTTCCTGAGTGACAGTGGCAGTTGGCTTTTTATTTGCTTGATTCCATTTTGTGATGGCCTTATCTCCAACAAAACCTGGCTACTGTCCTCAGGAAGCAGTCAAGCGTATCTTCTCCCTCATTGCCATCAGCAGAGTACCTCAGTCAGGCTCTGAGCATAGCTGGACTAATGCCAGGTTGTTTGACACCCCCCTGGCCTGGCATGAACACTCCCTCCTGGCAGAGTTCACCTAGCCTAATTGCTTGTTTTGTATCCCAGCTGCCTGACATATGCCAAACCCATGTGTTGACTCCCTGACGCTGGAGACAACTACACTAGGGCATTTCAAATAAGCTTTTGTGAGCTTTTTACCAGTAACTGGGGACTGTGATTCATGCATTTCTATAACTCTAGCACCTAACATGGCACCTGACTCATCTCATGGTAGGTGCCTGCTTTTTTTGTTTTGTTTTTTGTTTTTTAAGTGAATTTTAACAACTGCAGATCTAGACACAGTACTAATAGTAAGGACTTGGATGTAAGAAGTCCAAGTTTTGAGAGGCAGCTCAGACAATTGAGTTTCTCTCTGGGTGGCCTTGAGCAAGATTTCTGAGTTTCAGTTTCTTGATCATTATCAGTGAAAAGGGAACAATATCCCATGCTTACCCTAGGCACTGGAGATGAGGTCCCAGTCCTCATCTACTTCACATGTAAGCACATGAGACAACTTTGTGAAGGTGAATGATATAATCCTAGATGCTCACAGAATGGAGAAATACTTAATAAGTATAGAGAAGTCCAGAAGAGAGGGTGATTAGTTGTGCCAGGAAGATTTGATAACAACCTACTGAGGTAATAACGGTATAGAAGAGACTCTAAGCTTGAGTAGAAAATAGCACCCCAAACGGTTATGCCAAGACAGTGACCAAAAGATAATAAAACAGGTCAAATGTGGGACTAGTGGTAAGAGGATCATGTGAGCTATCTGGGAGGGTGACTTGGAGACATCGATTAGCTCCTCACCTCAGTGGTTTCTCAACAAGGTGGTCTTCTACTATGGACACTCACATATAAAACAGCAGCTATATCTTAGCCACATCCTCAACACTAAGCAAATACCTAATCCTAAATGTGGGGTCAATGCTCTGGTAGTGTGCCGGCTCTTACCAGCTCACAAGAACTGATTAGTAAGTGCTTAGGAATTCTTTAGACTGGCTGCTATACCAGTCACTATTAATAATCAAATCATATAAAATTAAATTACACTAAAAGCTTATAAATACTCAAAATTTGCCACTTCCTAAATATTTCAATGTATTTTATAATTATCTTTGCTTTTGAGGTTATTTGGGACTATTTATTTGTATCTCTATGGTGGGAATACTACATAGTGGCCTTCTGTGCATCTCCCTCCAGCTCTGTATTCAGTGGCATCTGTTGGTAGCCTGAAATCAGCGATGATGGGAGTATTTACACCACAGCAATGGGCAAATGCTACAGGTCACACTCTTTTTCTTTCTTCCTTTCTGTATTCTTTCCTTCCTTCCTTCCTTTTTTGTCTGTCTTCCTTCCTTCCTTCCTTCCTTTCTTTATTTTTCCTCCCAAGTCTACTGTTAAACAGACTTACTAGTATACCACTGGTAGCATCAAATAAATAAATGCATGAAGCATAGGAAAACTTCACATCTCTTCAAACCTCCCTAGACAAAAGCAAGTGGTACAAGACACATTTCAGAGGCCTCTACAGAACTACCTTCCCCACCTCCAGCTTCTTTGTCCCAGGAAAGGCTTTCTGTTAAACTTGGGTTTCTTGACAACTGAAAATCATGGTCAAATAGAGAGGGATGGAAGTGTTTTTCTCTAGGACTTGATTCCTGAGCCAAATGCCTGTTTTGACATAATGCCTCTGTGGTCTACAGGGGTACATAGAGTTGACTTAATTTTCTCCAGAATCCAAAAGCAATTCACAGGAGCCTAAGCTAAAATTTCATCTACTCTGGCTTGCAGAATTTGAGGCTACATGATAGCAAAATGGTGCTGATTTAATGATTTCCAATTATTGGAAAATCCCCAAAGAGAGATAAATCAGAAGATTCTGGCCTGCATGTACATAAGGAGCAGCAGCCAGGGTAGCTCCCAAAAGGAAACCATCCCCAGAGGGCTGATTATTGTCTAGGCAGAATCTGAAGATACGTATGTCAGGAGAAGGCTGGCTAGAAGCCAACATCGGGGGATAAGATCTGTTAGTAATTCTCTGGAAGGACAAAGTTCCTGCAATAAGAAATTCAATTGTCCTCCATTAAAGAAAGCCTCTCTCAGTACCAGCTGAATACAATTGATGGAATAAATCTTTCCCATTAGTAGAGAGATAATTTTACATAAATATATTGGGAGACCTTCAGAGCAGGACTAAAAGTCTTTGCTGAGTTTCGCCTGCTTAACTTGTTTGTCATGTAATTGCATTTAGACCAAGGGCCTCGGAAGGAAACCACTGACTGAATTAGCTTTAACCAGATTGTGGGGAGTGAGGTGGGGTGGGGGTGGGGTGCCTGATGCATTGTGGGTAGTTGTTCTTGCCTTCAGAAAGGACAAGCTGACACTAGTGAGACCAGCTGCTTACAAGCCTGGTGTTAATTGCTTTTCTCATCAAACAGAGAAAAGTTTATCACTCTAGGAAGGTAGAGATGTGGGTACCTAATAAGGCAAGGACAAAGTTTGAGATCTTTCTTCATGAATGCCCGTGGGCCTCATCAGTGGTTTTTCCCTTGGCCAGAAAAAAAGCCTTCTCTCTTTTTTTGAGCACAGTGATATGAGCATCTTTTCCTCAGACTTGTCTTGTCATCGAGGGCTGGGTCTCCAGTGTCCTGATCCTTAGGATGCTGACAGAAACCAGCACATTCATTCCCACCAGTTGCCCATGGCAAATAGGCTGGTCTAACACTGGACCCAGAGTTGTAAGGCCCCAAGTCATGCCAAGCTACAATACCACTTCCTACATGTCTTTGACCAAATAACGTAACCTCTTCATTTCCTCTTCTATAAAGTAAGAGGTTCCACTAGCCCCATGATTTTCTAGCTCCCTTCTCCAAACACTAAGACTCCCCAGAGTGATCTTCAGAACCAACCCAAAGGAAGAGGCCTTTGCCTCTGCTTCATGTAGAGAAGATCTTCTTTTCCTTTGTTTTCCACATTGGGATATTTATAAAAGTCATCCGTATAAAGGTTCTATTTCCCACTTATTTGCTCAATCCCCCCCACACACTTTTTTTTTTCCAACTATGACCTAGTACTTGTTAGGTATAGTACAGGCACTATAGAGAGAAAGAAAGGAAGAGAACTTGACTCTGCCCTCAAAGAGCTCAGGTTCTGTTGGAGACAAAAAAAAAAAAAAGTATATGGTCTAAAGGTGTTTGTATCAGGTTTTGAGGGTCAGAGGGTCTGGTTCTGATTAGGGACATCAAGAACGATTTCAGGGAAGAATTATCACTTGAAGGGGTCTTTAGGAATGAGAATGTCGGGAAGGGGCTACAAAAATGACATTTTAGGCAGACAGAAGAGCATTATAGTGACACAGGGGCACAAAGCAATATTTGCCTGGCACGATGTTCAGTTAAAGCATGTGGTTTGCTGACTAGAATACAGAGGAAGAATGGGGCAGGGTGGATTGCTGGGAGAGATGACAGGTTCCAGAATCCATCCCATGGGAATGCTACATCTACCCTTCTCTCACTAATGCCAGATGAAAGCAAGTACCCTCTATCCTGTTCACTTTCTTGTACATTCAGTTCCAATGAGACAGCTAATGACAGTAATAGCCATTACCTCTTATGGAGCTTACAAGGATGAAAAAACAGGCTCAAAGAATTGTCACATACCTGCACAATTCAGAAAGCTAGGAAGCAGCAGAGCTGGCATTTGAACCTGGGACCCCTCACTTCAAATCCATATGTATAACTACACTGTATTGCCCTCTGGAATCAGCTTTCTCTACTTATAGCGTAATATGATATTCTTAAGAAAAATCTCTGAGTGTTTTATTTGAAGAGCTGTTCTCTCAAGGATACTTTGATACCTTAAATTGAGGTGATATTTTTAAGAGGTTATTGTTTATCTGGAGTGAATACAATGAGCCCCTGGGTATAAGATGCATATGAGTGATTATTCTTCTGTCTTCTGACCTCTGGAAGTTCCCTGCCAGCCAGGACTCTGACCATGGAAGGTACCTCAAGTTATTCTCTCTTCTTTTCCCACAGGCATGCATGTGTCATCCGTGGTCAAGTAATGACATCAGATGGGACCCCACTTGTTGGTGTGAACATCAGTTTCGTCAATAACCCGCTCTTTGGGTATACAATCAGCAGGCAAGATGGCAGGTAGGAGACCTTTTATGGGCCAGGAAGAGTGAAGGCCTTATTCTCATGGTTTGCCACATAGAAAGAGGATGGGACTAGGATCGAATGTCTCTGCAATTTACTGGTCATATTATAGCAAGTGTATGACCTTATGCCTGACTCTAGCCTATGACTCCTTGGCCATAAAATAAGCAATTTCTTCTCATGTGGACCTCAAACTAAATATAGGGTACCTTATCCATATTATCCTGCTCCATGAATTATGGTATGAAATACTCTCATCATGTGGACTACTTCCCACAGACCACACAGCTCCAGAAGTCTTAGCTATTCCTCTTGTGTGGTTTCCATCTACAACTGCTCAGGTCTATGGAAGCCATTTAGGTAATAACCTTCTGACCTTAAATTCCTCCAAGAACTATCAGCAGAATGAAGTAAATCTTCCTTAACAACCTTAGCTCTCCCCCATTACATGTGTGTTCTTGGACAGATCTCCTTACCTCTCTAAGCCTGCACTGCTCCACCGGTTAAATGGTCCTAATGTTATCCATCTCTCAAAATGGTTGCGGGGACTAGATGATATGATGGATGGGGAAACACCTGGCACATTATAGGTGTTTAATAAATCTTAGTTCTGGCCGGGTGCAGTGATACAAGCCTATAGTCCCGGCAGCTCAGGAGGCAAAGGCAAAAGGATCATGAGTTCAAAGCCAGACCCAGCAACTTAGCAAGGTCCTAAGCAACTCAGTGAGACTCTATCTGTAAATAAAATGCAAAAAGGGCTGGGGCTGCGGTTCAGTGGTTGAGTGCCCCTGGGTTCAATCCCCAGTACCAAAAAATAAAAATAAATAAGTAAATCTTAGTTTTCTGCTCCACTCAGATTAATTGCTGTATTTAAGGTCTGGCACATAGTAAGTCTATAATAAATATAACTGATACTAAAATTACAAATTATTGAATAATAAGGAGGTGATGGTGACAGGATAGGCAATGAGAATATTTTGGAGAAAAGGGAAGGAGGAGCAAAGTGGAATATTTAGGCTGTCAGTGGTGACAAGTCCTCTATTTTTAATAAAATCAGGTGGTGGCATTCCATCTGGCTAACTGTGGGCCCATAAGGTTGATTTTCACTCTGTGTTGGAAATTATGCTCCAGCCTGATTGATTTTAGCACCTCTTTAATCCAATATCAGATGTGAGCATGTCCCGGCCGAGGTGCTAATGAAGTAGAGGCTCATCTGTTTGTAGACATGTGTGCCTCTTAGACGGGGCTGGCAAGCTTGGCGTGGGAGCCTCCCCACCTCCCTGCAAATGGGAAGGGGCCCAGCTGGAAGAGGTTCATGGCCAGGCCCTAAGGGCAACTGGCCAGGCCAGGCCACAGCTCCCTCCCTGCATACATTCCAGCCAGGAAGCACATCAGTGCAGACTCCCGCTACAGTGCAAAGGAGTCTCCATTATGCACTGCCCTCACTGCCTGCTGGTTTGGGGCTCTCATGTGAGCCTCCTAGGCAACAGGTGTTCTCACTACATGATTACCTGCTGGGAAACAGTCATTAAAAAGGAGCCCTGGAGGACTGTTCTTTTTTGCCATGAAATTGTCAGTCACTCATGGGGTGACAGATCATCAGTCCTTGCACCCTGCTAGGATTGCCTAGGGTAAGTCCAAAAAACATACAGGGTCTGGCATAAACATGGTGGCCCTTGGGGAAAACTCACTCTCTGGCACCTTTGGGCTCTGGTTCCCCACATTTGTGCTACCCCTATGATTCCTTGCTGCCCTTTAAAGGTATGGAGGCCCCAGAGGGATAGTCCCTACATCAGCTTCCTATGTTATGGCATAGTGACCAGTATAACTGCCACTTAGAGACTGTGTTTCTGAGCAGTTCCTACCAATGCATTGTGGGGCTTAAATTTACTTCCCGCTGTAGACATTGCATACTGTATGAGGAAGTCGTCATACAGACACTGTCCCCATAGTGTCTGAGACTTCATTTGTTACATGTGAGCAGGTTGCATCTTGCCTGTTTCTCTCCTCGCTTCCTCGACCCACCTTCTCTCTTAACTCTCATACCCTTGAAGAAACCATAAGGCCAGAGATACAGTCCAGAGATAAGAGTACATACAAGTGCACTGTAACCCTGGGGACTGATTTGTCTGTGATCCCCACTTTCCAGACAGGCACCATGACACCTGCAGCAGTTCCCCACCCTTGCACACATGCTAATAGACCATATTTCAGGATTTAACAAGAGCTCATAAACAAAACAGTAGCAGAGAAGTTAGCCAAAGAGATCATTAAAGAAATGGAAAATAGGAGTCCATGAAGAAAAACTGAAAGAACCGCAGACAGGAGGAACAGCTCAGGCTCATTGAATTGAAAAATGGGATTATACAGAGCATGACACCCAGGAAATGTGTGGGGCCCTGTTCTTTTCCCATCTATCACTCATCTCTCAAATTAATAATGCTGCCAAGTGAATTATGGTCATCAGCTTCATTTTACAGATGAGGAAATAGAGGCTTGGAAAGGGAGCATAACTCACCCACAGAGTGTGTAGCAATGCTCAGGCGGCCCTGAGCTGTCTGAGCTTTGTCTGAGAACCAGGCAGGCCTTCTCTTTGGGGTCAGAGTCACATTCTTATCCATAACAAGGTTTTCCCACCAACAAGTGGGCCTGGCCCCAGCCCATTGCACTCAGCGGCTGGCGAGCCAGCTGCCCCAGCCTGCTCACAGTCTTGAGAATGTGCCTTCTCATGTTTGTCTTTTCTTTCTCCCCACGCTCAGACTCTCATGAAGAGAGCTTTTGATGCTGGCCAAAATTCTGTTTGATAGTTTAAAATGTTCTGTCAAAGCACAGATGCTATTTAGTTCTGTAACAGAAAAGTCACTCTCTGGGTATTTCCCCAAAACCATGGAGACCCACCACCTGAACTCTTGGTCCAAAATGAATACCTTCCCTGGTGTTTCTCTGTCATTACTTATTGAAGGAGGTGACACCTGACTTCTTCTTCCCAAGTGTGGCATAGAAAGAGCTGAGCAAGAAGCAGGGAAGATGGATGGAAAGTTCCTGCAGAGGATAGATAGATAGGATAGACGTCTTTGGAACCTAGGGATGTGAATCTGGGAGTGCCATGTACCAAGAGCAGGATTGGGCACTAGATCAGGGCAATCGAGCATAAAACCCTTGTAGCTTCTAGGGGAAGGGAGAGCAAGCTGGAGCAACAGGCCCAATCCCATAAAGTGGGTTTATCAGACTAAAGGTGAGATCTGGCACTGAGTCTCTCAAACCAACTGCACAGGTGAATCCGGGTTGAATTGCAACCACCAAGTGAGAAGGGAACAAGCACTAGGAAGGCAGGTGCTGCTTAGACCTACCTACCATCCACAGGAGCTGTGTACAGGCTGGGCTATCAGCTCTCAGAGCCATGTCATGGTGATCTCATCTCAACTGACAGTGCCACTCAGTCTTCTGGCCCCCTTTTAGTTATAAAATGCTGTGATTCTAATTTTGTTGTCTCTAAAGTGTTCAGCTATTTTGGAATTGAAAAGGCCTTTGTTGAATACTCTATCATAATCAGAGCCAAAATTGCTGTAGAGTCACAGAGTCACTCAGAGTCATAGAATCTGAGTGACTTAAGAATAATCCACTTGAACCTTTGCATTTCACCATGAGAAAATTGAGGATCAGAGAAGCTAAATGACTTACTTGAGGCTGCACAGTAGTTCATGTCAGAACCAGGAAGAGGCTTAGGGTTCCCAACAACTGAGTCAGAGCTTGTTCTACTGACTTTTTACCGGGCTTCAGCTCTGACCCAGGTAAAAGACCAATGTGCCAGGAGCACCACACTAGCAGATTTGTTAATATCCTGTACCCTGAAGACTGGCTATTTTAATAGCTAATCTGTCTCCAGTAAATTCTCTATGGTGAGTCACTTGACAACACAGCAACCACAAAGGCCTCTGGAGTTACTGTCACCACTGTGGCTGCAGACAAGTCTTTAGGTGTTAAGTCTCCTCACTGAGTGCTCAGACCCTTTGTATAATTTTCTCTCCTGTCTCTTTCTCCTTCCCATCCTCCTGGTTTTCCTGCTCCCCTCTCCTCCTCTCCCCCACCCTCCTTCCCTCCACATAGCTTTGACTTGGTCACGAATGGTGGTGTCTCCATCATCCTGCGGTTTGAGCGGGCGCCTTTCATCACACAGGAGCACACCCTTTGGCTGCCATGGGATCGCTTCTTTGTCATGGAAACCATCATCATGCGGCATGAAGAGAATGAGATTCCCAGCTGCGACCTGAGCAACTTCGCCCGCCCCAACCCTATTGTGTCTCCATCCCCGTTGACGTCCTTTGCCAGCTCCTGTGCAGAGAAAGGCCCCATTGTGCCAGAAATTCAGGTACCCAGCCTTCCTGGCTGCATATCATTTAGGAGATCTCAGAGACGGTGGAAAGAAAGACAGTACTTCTCTGGAGTCTGGGTCAGACCCTCTCAGCCCATCTTGCTGAATCCAGCTGCCAAACTCCCTGGCAGGCATGGTGGCAGGACATGCGGGCCACCTTTCCTACACACTGAAAGCACCTAAGCACCTGCAACCTACCTGGCTCTGGCTATAGTAAATTCCCTCTCCCTTTCCCCTGTCATCCAGCTCAGTCTGCTTTCCTTTACCAGAGCCTGCAGGATATCCCCCCTCTCTCAGTATTTCTGTTGAGAGTATTTATAATAATAGGTTGAACCACGAGGAATAAGCCACGGGATCCCAAATAGCAAGCATTATAATAAAGATTAAATGAGAAGAATGTATATGAGGTACTTAGCACGTCTGACACCTAGTAAGTGCTCAATAAATTTTAGCTATTATTATTATTAAGATTACTTAACACACGCTGCCTTCACGCCAATTAAGGATTGCTTTGGCTCAAATCTATACACGCAAGTGTTTTACTTAATTATCATTAAAAGAAAGTAATTGGAAAAAATGCATTTTAATCTGATAGAAATCAAGATGGATTCGTGGCTTGACAAAGAACCCCTGAGTTGAATGTCCTCTTCCATCCCCAGGCTGGTTTCCAGGGACAGAAAGAAAGGCCTGAGGAAGGGGAGATGTATCAACCAGAAGTCCAGGAGAAGCCCTGGTCTCCTGGCCTGCCTAATGAGAACTCTGGTGCTGTGCATGTTAATGGATGGCCCTGGTGCTGGCAGAGCAGAGAGTTTATACATTTATGTGTGTATTTCACGCCTGGCTGAGCAAACACATCTCTCTGTGCATACCCTGTTGAGTGGCTTCCAATGCCGTCCCACAAGAAGGAAATACAACCATTGCAAAAGTCTCATTGCACACACAGGTTGCAAGCTCACTCCTTTTCAGAGATTCAGCACCTGTCTCCTGTCTCAATGACCAGGCTGACCTTTCCTATGAAATGGTTGTCAGTGGAGACAGAACTTGCTGGAGAGAACTAATTTGTTACTCAACCCTGGCTCTGCTCCAGCTAGACATTTTTCCCAGGACCAGGGACTTTGGAACAAATGAGGTTCAAGGTCGCACCCTCTTTACACTGCTCTCTGAGCCAGCTGCCTACAGGGCCAGTTGGGGCACAAACCTTGCTTATTGTCAGACTCACGAAAAACATGAAAACAAACTCCTGGGTTTTGCCAGTTTAGTCATTGGTTAGCCTTTGCAAGTGCTGACAGGTGCAAAATGTAAAGGGTACACTCAGGAAGGGTGTTGTGTATGAGAGCGTGGGGATAGCTCTGGCTCCTGCCTATGCTTCACCAGGGTGTACCTTAAAAGCTGTGACTTCGGAAGACTGTCATGGGTTAAGGCCAACCCCTAGAATTCCCTGTGTCCAGGAGAGCAGGGTTGGGACAAATGTTCCCACCTGTCTATGGGATGGACAGAAAAAGGCCTGGCTTATCTGTGCACATAAGGTAAAATACTTATTGTCCCTTGAATGGACATGCCAGCCTTGATTGACTCAATGTTCAATGTTTTAATGAGAGAGAGCCCACAAGCTGACAAAAGTCCTCCACTTTGGCCACATACCTGATTATCTGGCATCCATTGACTCTTCCACCTTGGGCTGGGCCCACAGCACCCAGCAGAAAAAGCACTGCCTTCCCCAATACTCCATTCATCTGACACAGGGGTGTTGTGGGGACCCCATGTGTACTGAGACCCCATGCTGCCAATCCAGCCTCTCTGGGGGTGAGCAGAGGCCTCGGCATTGATCCTTGCCAAGCTGTACCCTCAGCTCTTAACTCTGCCTGGTCATTTGTTTGGTCAGCCTCACATAGTCTCCGTGTACTTTCCTGGAAAGTAACACCATTTGAAACAGATCTCATTTTAAGAAAATTTTGTGAAGCTTTCCTTCTTGCTCAAGCAGCTGTCCACATTAGTCTGAGAAGAAGGTCTCTCTTCTTAGGATCCCCCACTTTCAGCTCTGCTGACACCCGCTACACCATCATCCTACCTAACATTGAGGTGCTGGCCACTTCGTATCCATGACCTTGCTCAGCCCTGTGCTAATCCAGGGAGGAAACTGGGCTGCAGAGCCTCCATGAGTCTTTTAGGATGACACAGCTCGTGAGAGGCAGCCTGCTCCCAGGGGTCTCCTAAGCAATGTCTTGTGTGTTTCTCTCAATTATGGGATGCCGTGTTGCCATCCATGTTACAGAGGAGGACCCAAAGCTCATCGAGGTGTGGTGGCTCATGCAGGGATATGCCACATAAGAGCTGGCCCCAGAGACCGGTCTTCAGGTTTCCTTTCTCCTCCCTCAATTTCTTTTCTCCTTTCTTTTCCTTTTTCCCTCCTTTCTCCTCCTGGCACTCCTCACCTTCCATTCTCCCCTCTTCTCTTTTCTTCCTCCTCCTCCCCTTGCCCACCTTCTCCCCCTCTGTTCCATCCTCTGCCTCTTGAACACCAGAATCCATGGGCCATGGCCGTCCTCCTTCCCTTGAATGATCCAGTGACCGTCCCCAACTGTGATCTATCTTGCTTTCTAGGCTCTGCAAGAGGAAATCGCCATCTCTGGTTGCAAGATGAGGTTGAGCTACCTGAGCAGCCGCACCCCGGGCTACAAATCTGTCCTGAGGATCAGCCTCACCCACCCCACCATCCCCTTTAACCTCATGAAGGTCCACCTCATGGTGGCGGTGGAGGGCCGCCTCTTCAGGAAGTGGTTTGCTGCAGCCCCGGACCTGTCCTACTATTTCATGTGGGACAAGACAGACGTCTACAACCAGAAGGTGCTTGGGCTCTCAGAAGCCTTCGGTAAGCCGCCTACTGCAGAACACCCCCGCCACCCCCCAGAGCGACTCTTGTCACCTCCTTGGCTATTTTTTCCTCCCTGCTTCTTCTCAGATCAAAAATAATTATGTCTTAATTGCCCTTTAAGGCCTCTCAGTGACCATCCATGACATTGAAGAATGTATTGAAAGACCTAAATGTGGGAAATCCCACATTAAAAATGGCTACAAAACCCAAACAGCCCTCAAAAAGCACTGTGATGAGCTAAAAGATGCCGTGTGCCACAAAGGCCCAGCCTGTGGGCTTTGCCTGGCCACCCCACAGCCATCCTGCCTCAACCTAACCATTAAAGTAGGGGAGCCAAGAAACTGGGCTGCTTCCACTTTTTTGAGGCATAGGAACTAAGATAGTCCCTTCATCAAAAATGCATTTGGGGCCTCATGACTTTATTTCCAATCAGAGAAGTTGTCTTTCTGTCATTATTATTGCTGTCTGTTTGTTAAGATAATACAGAAGCTGGCTCTGGCCTTACCTAGCAGCCCTACTGAGAGCTTGGGCTTCCAGGGGCAGGCTGTACTTCTTCCAGCTTCTGGGTCAGTGTAGGGTCCCAGAAAGGGCTCAGAGCGGGTCATTAGCAGTCCTAACACTCAGGGCTGATCCTCCAAGCACTTAGGGAGTAACTTCTCACCTTGAATCATACTCCAGTCTCATTCCCTTTGCCTAGCCAAGGCAGGATAAGGAAACAGAGAAGTCATGTTGTGTTTAGAAAGGAAGGAAGGGAAGGTAGGAAGGAGGGAGGACGGAAGGGAAGGCAGGAGCATGAAGTACATAAGAGACTGTCCCGAGCACCAGCTCCGGGCAAAATGCTCCCCTGTGCATTAGCATCCAGTGAATCCTTACAACCGCCTCCCCAGTCAGAAATCCTGTATGAGGAGGCTGAAACCAGAGAAGTGAGGTGACTTCTCAAGGAGTCACAGCTGGTAATGAGCAGAGCTAGATTTATTCCAGGTCTTCACTACAGTTTGCATCCCCACCTGTCCCACAAAGGAACACTGGGAGCAAACATGGCATCTTTCACTCTTCACAATCCCTTTTGTAGATCAAGCCACATCTTTCGTCTTTTCAGAAAAAAAAAAAAAACAACACTTTTCAGTTGAAATGATCATATTTAGTGCTCACAGTCAACTAAAAAATAAGGGTCTGCACAGTGAAATTTCAGGCCTGGGCTCACTTTTCTGAGGTCACAGGTGAACAGTAGGAGGTACTGTGACTCAAGGTCATAGGGAAGAGGTGACAGGGACATCGCCAGCCTCTTCCCCATTACCATAGTTGGTCAGCCATCTTTATGGTACATACAAGAAACTGTAAGGGGCTGCCCAGTTGTTAATTCCTGTCTTAAACATAAGGTAGAAAATTGCCTGCTGGAAAATAGTGCCTACTCAGAAAGACACTTGGAAGAAATAGCATTTCCGTCTCTGCTGGTTTCCTTCACAAGGTCACCGACAGGGCCTTTACACACCCAGACTCAAGGAGCCTGCTGTACTTAGCCTTCATCCCAAGTACCTACTGAGGGGCCTGGATTTATGAAACAAAAGTTAAGCCAAAGCATTTGCAAGTTTGGAAAGCTTGAAGCAACTTTTGGCTTCTAAAGTTCCCCAACTGAGCTTATTTTCCATGTATACATTACAAACAAGTCCAGATTTCTTCCCTGTAAAAATTTGGGAAATAGACAAAGGTAGAAAAAGTCATGGGTGATCCCATAAACAAATACAACTACTTGTTAATATTTGAATTTGCTTTCTTTATTCATGTGTAGCTTTATTTTGTTAGCACACATAGATTACTGAAGATGGCCAGTCTTTTTAAGCAAGCATTACTCTCACGAGTGTCCCCACATCACCACATGTCTTCACAGGCATAGTTTCCATGGGCTGTGTAATATTCCTGGATTGAACATGCTTAGGTTTGCTCAGTCCCTCACCTCTTTCAGACCTTTAGATTAATTCAAATTTCCAACATTATAAATAATGCTGCAGTGAAGATATTTGTACATAAAGTATTTTCCATATTGAAGATAACTTCCCTGGAACTGATTCACCATGGTCCTTTGACAGTATTCAGTACATTTGTTTAACAACTTTTCCCAGTCGTGTACAACTGTTCATCAAAAAAGGAAAAAAGGTTTTTAAGACTTAGCATCACTATGTCAGTATTGTGTCAGTATTTCACATAGTTCTATTTCCCAGGTTAGAAACATGATTCTTTTTGTCATCGTTGCCTCCTCCTCCTCCTCCTCCTCCTCCTCCTCCTCCTCCTCCTCCTCTTCCTCTTCCTCCTCCTCCTCCTCCTCCTTCTTCTTCTGCAAAAGACAAGCAGACGGCCTTGCCTATAGGTCTAAAGACCAAAAAGGGGACTTTGCTTACCCATGCATTTTGCTCTTTTTGGTCCCTACAGTTTCTGTGGGTTATGAGTATGAATCCTGCCCAGATCTGATCCTATGGGAAAAAAGAACAGCAGTGCTGCAGGGCTATGAAATTGATGCATCCAAGCTTGGAGGATGGAGCCTGGATAAACATCATGCCCTCAACATCCAAAGTGGTGAGTGGAATAATAGAATTCCTTGAGCCAGGCCAGGTTGTCACCTTGTCTCCTATCCCCTGGGCCCTCCAAACAAAAAATACACACTTTGAATTACATGGGTTCCTGTGCAATCAGTTCAACAGAAAGCTCAGTCAACAAATATTGCTTGGGTACCTGCTGTCAGCCTGTCACTGTGCTAGGCACCAGGGATACAGAAATAAGAGGCTTCAAGACTTTACATGGTCAGAGACAAATACTCACCAGGTAGTTGCATTGCTGTGCACTGGCCATGCCATCACAGTGGAAGGTGCAGGACACCATGGAAGCACAGGAAGAACACAGCACTCGGTGATTCAGGGCATCCCTGGGGAGAAGATCCCTGGCCTGAGTCTCAGAGGTCTGCAAGATAACTCTGGGTCTCAAAAAGGTGAACACTCCAGCAGAGGGCACAGTACCTGTGGAAGAGCTGAAGCCTCCAACAAGAGTAATTGGAGAGAAGAAGGTCCACTGTGATTTGAGCAGAGAATGAGATGAAGGAAAGAGTAGCCAAAGCCAAAGCTGGGGGCTGAGCAGCTGGAGCCCAGGGTAGATTAGGACTTTGGACTTCATCCAGAGGCAAATGTCAAGCCTCTGAGAGGTTTCAAGCAGGCAAGTGCCATGATCACATCTGCACTTCCAATAATAACTCAATCTGACTCTTTCAGGGTAGGACAACTAAACATGGTAACCATGTCACGTACCTTCTGCGAAAAGTACAGTGCATGCCTGTCAAAACCACAGCATGTTTTAAGGGGAAGTTGACAAACTAATTATAAAGTTTATAATGAAATGAAGGTTTATAAATAGCGAAGGCAATCTTTAAAATAAGAACACAGAAAATGAGTTTACCAGACATTAAGTTAAACTAGAAAACTGTAACATCTAAAACTGTGTGGTGTTGGCACAGAAACAGGTAAATGGAGCCCACAGAGCTGAGGGGCAGGAATTCATTAGCTGATCTGTGAGTGGTGATTAAAATTAGCCTTGGCCACATGTGTCAGAAAAGCCAAAATAGGGCTCAGTGGTAGAGGTCTCACCTAGCATATGTGAGGCACTGGGTTCAATCCTCAGCACCACATAAAAAATAAAAAACAAAGAAAAGCCAAAATAGGACTGGGGTTGTGGCTCAGAGGTACAGCACTCGCCTAGCATATGTGAGGCACTGGGTTCGATCCTCATCTTTCCAGTTCACCTTTCAGGAAAGGATTTCCTGAAACCTAAAAAAAGCACCAACTTTAAAGTGGAAAAGTAATTCATTAGAGGACATCAAAAATTGAAGCAATCCATTTGATAGCTTTGGCAAAGCTAACAAGTGGCAGCTTGAGAGAAGATTCGTGTGATCCCTAAAAGCCAAAACCCTCTGAGGCTGCAGGCTGGAAGGCAAGAGGCAGCCAGTTTGGAAGCTGTGACAATAAGCAGGTGGGGGAAGAATGATCTGGAATGAAAACAACATAAGTTGGGTGGAAGCTTCCCAGTCACTGAGGTCAATTCTCCCCATTGGGCTGCAGGGCAGTTGAAGTGTGGAGACTGTGCAAGATCTGGGACCAGCCCGTTAGGAGCAGAACCAGGCACAAACTCCAGTCTCCTGACTTCATGTTGGTGAGAGGAGACTGTGAGCACCTCATTCATCTCTATAAATATGTGTCAGTGTCTACTTCATGTCAGGCTTTGTGCTTGGCCCTGGGGCTACAGAAGGGAAAAAAAGACATACTGTCCACACTTGAAATGGCACTGATAGAAAGGGAGAAAGACACCTAGCAATTGGAATCCACACTGTCACCAGAGGTGTGATCAGGGTGCAGGAGCCATGTGCAGCCCATTTGCGAGTCAGGGTAGCTGAACAATCAGGAGCTAAACTCTAGGGCTCCTCCACTTCTCATCTGTGTGGCCTTGAGTGAGCTGCCTGCTCTATTCCCTCTATTACAATAGCGATCTTATCAGTGCCTTCATATGGGTTATGATGGCAATTAAATCAGTGAAACAGTGTGGCCTGCTCAGTCCTTCTAGGTTTCACTGTGGGTGAGGCACAGCCTTGAGAGATGAGTTGGGAAGTGGTTGACAAAGACTGGGGACCTTGCAAAATCAGGTGATTGTGGCTGACCATAGGAAGAAGGACCCACCTCCTGCTCCCAGATGATTCTGTTCTTCTCTTCTTGTCCCAGGAATCCTGCACAAAGGGAATGGGGAAAACCAGTTTGTGTCTCAGCAGCCACCAGTCATTGGCAGCATCATGGGCAACGGGCGCCGGAGAAGCATCTCCTGCCCCAGCTGCAATGGCCTTGCAGATGGCAACAAGCTCCTGGCCCCCGTGGCCCTCACCTGTGGCTCTGATGGAAGCCTCTATGTGGGTGACTTCAACTACATCCGTAGGATCTTCCCCTCTGGAAATGTCACCAACATCCTGGAGCTGAGGTATGTAAGGCGGTGCCTTCTCTAAGTTCCTGTTAACATCCCCTTGCCATCCTAGGGTCCAGCCACATTATCCACTGATCCAGAGAACTGGGACAGACAGTGCCATCCATGTCTGTCAGAATCTGACTTTTCACTCTCCAGATCAACCAGGTGCTGCCTCCCTCGGTGCACTGTGAAGACAAACCACCCTGGGAACAGGGAGATGTCCTTGGCATCCAGGTGACATGGAAGGCTGCTGGCAGTCAAGAATTAGATTCCTGGGAGCCATTGAACCTTTTTACTCCCTAGTACTAAACTGATTAAAATTAGTCACACAAGTCTCTTTTATAAAATCTAGGGCTGGATGGCATATGCCGGTGAGGCCCCTATGGCCATGTGCCCAAGTTTGGCCCTATTTACTTAGCACTCATCAGAGTTCACAGCAGTTCCCTTTGATTGACCAGTACTGAAACAAGGCCCCCAGGCCTAACCCAGGCAGGGCCTTTCTGCTCCTCAGGTGCTGCAGAACCAGCTGGGCCACCCTTTTCCCCTCCTTCCACGAGGGTTGGTGCACAGCACAGCTACAGCTCAGGGAGCCTCCGTGTTTTGCATTGTTTCTCTGTTTCTTGAGCCAGATCTCTTTAGAACCAAAGCACTGTGGGATCTGGGGCTATGGAGAAGCTGTGCTTTAGAAACAGAGGAGTCCCACCCACCCTACAGGAGAAATGACACCAAGTTCCTTCACAACTATTTTAGGGAATGGGACCCATCTGTCTCCTGGGCAGGGGTCTACATGAGCAGGACAGGCCCTTGAACTTGAAAGCCTTTCTCCAATGCAGGTAGGAGAAAGTTGGGCTCCTACTGTTTGCCATGTGTAACAGTTCTGTGAGGTTTTTATTATTATTACCCTTTGATAAGTGGGAAAGAGGAGGCCCAGGGAATTTAAAGTGCCTGTCCAAGGTCCAGCTTCTAGAATGGCAGATCCAAATCCAGAAGGCCATTACCCAGTTCTGCCTCACCAAAGAATTGTCATCCAACCCAATGAGGACTACTTTGTCTTAATGCCTTATAAATATTCTCTGCTTGAAAGAATCTCATTCTACAGCACATGTGTGAGACGGAGGGCAAAGCTTGCTGGCTCTCTGGCAGCCTCCTGGCACTAAGAGAAGTGTTAGCATCTGCCCCCACACACAGAGACAAAATATGGAAGCTCATATGTGCAGGCCCATAGGAAATCATACATCAGGCTGATGAGAAGTAGGCCTCCAATGGAGTATTCTCTGCCTTTCTTCCATTATGAGGTTGACTGGCATAGATATCTGTCAAGACAGAAGAAACCCCTGAATGTATTGATTTACTCAGCTGCATATATGTACTATAATGGAGAGAGCCAAGGACCAGGGGGTCGCCTCACCTTGGCAGAGAAGCTGTACGACTTTGGACCAAACACTTAACCTCCTTGGGCCTCCACTTTTACATATTTTAAATAAGCGATATCATCTCCCTGCGTCCTTTCCACCACTGTTGTGAGGATCGTGTGAGACAGTGAGTAAGTAGGGTAGGGAGGAGTAAATGTAGTTTGGAAAGAAAACTAAGTTAATCATTATATCATCGTCTTGATATATTTTCCTCCAATCATTTCCCCCAGGCCTGTTTCTCTATGCCATGCCCTCCCTTCTAAATATAGCATATCTCCAATTCTGTTTCCTACTGTGAGTAGGTTTCCCACATTTTGATAACTCTTTGTAGGGAAGTGAGGATGTAGAGTCGGAGCAGCGAGCCTGTTTATCGCTGGGAACGTCTATACAGGAAAGGGAAGCGACTGTTCCAGTCTGTGTCTTAGCTCGTTAAGGCAGCAGAAGGTGTCATGCTAGTCCTCTTTACAGAGTCAGCAGTGGGGGTGAGGTGGAACCGTGCCTCCTCTGTGAAATGTAGCTGCTTGTAAGTGAACTCACTGACAAGTAATATCCAATATAAAATATATCAGTGTCATAGCTGCTAAGTCTTTATTTATTACAGTATTGTACAGTAGCATTGCTGTCAAGTTTTCAGGCCGCTAATAATGCTTCTAACCCTGCTGCTAACACCTCATTCTTTCTTCTATTCCCTGCTCTCCTGTCTTCTGTCAGAAATAAAGATTTCAGACATAGGTAAGCCAACCAGTGGAGAATTCCCTGTCTCTCCCCTGCCTTGTTGCATGTTGTATGGTAAGCTACACATGTCAATTTCAGATGGCTCAGTGGCAAAGGAATCCTGTGTGATTGGAACGGATCGGGGATAATCAGTGTCAATAAGAGGAAGTCATTAATAATGGTGGTGGTGGGTGGCAAGAGCCTGAACTCTTTGAATCCATGGCAAAGTGAGGTGGTTATCCTATAGTCTGAGGACATGACAGATAGAAGCAACAGGGGAAAGAATTTAAACCATGACATAGTAATTTGAATGCCACAGTCTGCTTAATTCTCAGCATAAATGAGGATATCACTCAGACTGTGCCAAGTGACTGATGGTCATGATGGAAAATTCTGAAAACACATTGATCAGGTGAAGAATCTGAAATTTACACTTCTATGGACATTCCAGGTACCATGGCTTTTGGATCATCCCTGTGATCACTCCACTGGTGTGATCTAGCAAGGATTGAGCAGGCCACAGGGAATGCCTTCAGAGGACAATCCCCAGATAGGAACTTTGTCACAGAATAGGCTTGTCATAGACTCAGAGTGGCAGAGCAGCCAGCAGGAGTGAGTCTAGCCAGACACAAAGCAAAGTGATACCTGTCATTGTGGCATTCATCTACCCCCTAACAGAGTCCCCTGCCCTGCACACATTACAGTGACTTGAAAACTAACCACAAGCAGATAGAGCTCTGGTTCAGACAGCCACAGAGGTGGTGCTGAGCTATCCACATGCAGCTCAGTTCAACATGGTGCATGGGTAGTGCTAAGTTGGGATAAAAGAAAGTCTTTGAGATGATGAACAGAGCCAGACAGACCCTAGTCCAATAATTATTAGATCCATTTCTATACAAGTAGATATTTTATATAATAATTGTATGTATTCTTTTAAAATAATAATAATTAACATGTATAGAGCATTCACTGTGTAGCTGAAAGAGTAGCATTTTGTCCCCAAACCATCTATGAGGTAGATCCCTGTGACTACATCCAATGTACAGAGGAGAAAACTGAAGATCCCCAACTGGGTGGTCTTGAAAGAATTACCTCATTTCTTGAAGTTCTCATTTCTAAATTGAGGTTATTTAAAATCGCCCTCAAAGGGTTGGTGTAAGAGTCACAAAGGATGGGGGATGGGAGTATAGCTCAGTTGGTAGGGTGCTTGCCTTGTATGCATAAGGCCCTGGGTTCAATCCCCAGCACCATACATACAAGAAAAAAAAGAGTCACAAAGGATATTTACAAAGTATAGAACATTTTCAGGCATAAGGAGGTACTCAAGAAATGGTCATCATAGCAGTAATGATGATAACAATAACAAGATATATACATTGTTAGTATTACTAATATAACTTATAATTAAATGATGATATTATGATGACACAATGATATCATATTATATGGTGATGATTGTGATGCCTCCATCTTTCCCAAAAAGGAATTGAGTCCTCTTACACCCAAAGACACATGTCTTAAAATTAAACAGGAAATGGGAACCAAAGTCAAAAAGAAGAAAGACGTCTATGATTGTACCTCAGAGTAGAATTGATTTCATGGCAGCAGAGCAAATAAATAGGAAAACATAGAACTACGTTCAGGATTTGCATTATCAGAAACTGAAAATATGTTCACATCTCAGAGGAGAAATGTTTTTCCTCACACTGAAATCTGAGCTATTCCATGAGATTTGTATGGAGGATACTGAATTACACATTGCTCTCAACTTCAGTTTTGCAGAACAAAAGTACATTTCCCATAAAGATCCTGGATTAAAACATAGCATTTCACACTGAAGCATCAGTCCATGGTGGAAGCTGGCTGGAGAACAACTGAGACACAGGTGACAAGCTAGGAAATTGGGGGCCATATGGCCTTGGGCTGATCACCCAGCCTTTCTGATTTCCAGTCTCATCCTCTATAAATTCAAAGAGCAGTGGTTGGAGTCTCTTTTGTTTCTGATGTTCAGTGACCTTTTGATATTCAAAACTGGGTTCTTTCCCTCTCCCAATTCATTGTTTTCTCGGATGCTAAAAACTATTTCTAAAGTGAGCCAAAGTGGAAGGGAAAGGGAAACATTTTGTGTGTTCCAGTTTTCCAAAGCCTGTCCGGAGACAGAAAACCCGGTTTCAGTGGTGATACCTGAAGATTGGCAAATCCCTTCTGCTCTCTAGACCTCAGTGTACCCCTCAGTAAATATTGAGATAGATAAAATTCTAGAATTTTGTCCTCTAGAAATTTGTCCTCCAGTAGCTGCCTCAGCTGCTCTCAGTAATAGCATTTGGCTGCACAGGGGTGACATCAGCTATGCATACGTGTGTGCACTCCCCAGGACAGGCTTATCTCTGCCTTTGGCTCTTTGGCCTCAGTGCCAGCCCCCAGGCTCGGCATGTCCAGGACAAAGACCCATAATCTTTTAGGCATCTTCCTCTTTGGACCCCTTTAGGGAACAAGCATCCTTGCCTCTTTTCAGATCTCTTCCCTAGGTCCCTGAGGAATGCTCAAAGCCTCTTGTTAGAAATACATTTGAACTCAAGTCTCCCTCAAACCTAGCTGCATGTATTAACTCAACAGAACCTTTAAGTGCCCAGAAATAGGTTGTGCAGGACAATATTGCATCTCCATACTTAGCTTTTCCATTATGCACCAACATAAGTATTCTGGAGGCTTTGCCAAGGTGACCAGCTTTGCCATTCATTGAGCATTTCTCTCTCTCTCTCTTTTTTTAATATATCTGGAACTATGCACAGAAATTTACATCCTTCATGCAATTTATATCCTCAAAATAATCCTTTGAAGTTGATATTTTCTCAGATGAAAAAACTGAGGCTCCAAGTAGCAACATGCTTTTGCCCAAGGTCACTTCATCAAGTGGGTAGTGGAACTGTATTTATCTGTGTGGCTTCAATACTCAAGCCCTTCCCACTAGTTCTGAGAACCCGTGCAACAGGTCCTGCCAACTTGCCACCTGATATGGTTGAAGGGCGCTCCTGTATATGATGCAGACCTCACTCTGAGACAAAAAGAGAATTCTCACTTATAAGCTGGGAATAGATTACTTTTTGTCACAAGACACTCCTGAGTTCTTATCTCCTGCTAGGAACTTTCCTGCAGCTTCCAGAAAGATGGTAGAGTAAGATCTGACTTCAGCTCATTAACTTCAAGAGTGGTACCCTAAAGACCTCTACGTTTTTAGGTCACTTCCAGAGGGGCCAAGGATATGTTTGAGGAACTAGGAAAGAATGTGTGTCCTTAGAGACTCCTGTAGCAAAAAGTAGGTCTATGATATGATTCTGTGCCAACCTTGCTCAGGATACTGGGAATCAGAATGGATCATACATGGTCCCTGTTCAGGAAATGCTCTCTGTCCACAGAACCAGGCCATCTTCCATCACGTGCCCTGAAACCATTTGTGGTTTATGGAATGTTCCAAGGCCTTGCTACTCAAAAGTACAGGCAACCAACACCAGTATGCTTTGAGAAGTGATCAGAAATGCAGACTCTCAAGTTCTACACCCAGAATCACTAAACTACAATCCACATTTTAGCAAAATCTCCCAGAAATTCATATGCACATTGAAGTTTGAAAAGCACTTCTCAAAAACCACGGTTCCCAAGTCTGCCTGTGCCTTATGGTCACCTGGAAAGATCTCAAAGGTAGATGGCCAGGCCCTTTAGTCACTATAGGCAAGGCTTTTTCTTTAAGCTTTATTTAGAACCATCAATCTAAGATCATCAGCAGTGAGTGTTTCCTACATACCCTTAAGCCAGGGAGGCAGATATTCATTCATTCATTCTCTCGTGAACTCAGCAGAACTTTCCAGAGCATTCACTCCGCATCAGCCAAATGAGAAGCACCAGGGAACTTAAAGTCAGTCTCTGCCCAGAAAGAGTTCAAGATTTTACTGAGAAGGCAGACAACTGAGCAGAAGTGCCTTAAGGCACTACAGATAACTAGAAGTGTAATCTGCTGAGGCTCTGGAGACACAGAGGAATGGCCCGTTCACCAGTGGGAAGAAGTGGGGGTCCAAGAATGGTATTTCAGATAAGGTGGTACAAGGGCTGAGTCTCTGGATATGGGCAAGAATGAGGTGAAAGAGGGCTGTGGAGCTTTGTAGGCCCTGGGCAGCAGCGTGAGGAAGCAGAAAGAACACAGACTTTGGAGTCGAGCAGAGCTGGATTGAAATGCCCTTAGCAGTTTGTGGTCCTGGCAAGTCACGTCACCTCTTCCAACCTCAGTTTTCTGAAATAAGGAAAAAAAAAAAGTACCTACCTTTCACGATAATTGTGAAAAAAATGAGGTCATGCAGGTCAAGTGGTAGCACAGTGTCTGAGACAGAGTCAGCATCCATTAGTGGTGTCAGGTACATTGGTATCCATGGGCATCATGTCTGTGGCTCTGTCCTGCCGCCTGGTGGAAGTCCAGGTGGGCATCACAGACACAGGGACAAAGTCTGGGTGGGCATCATGGACACAGGAGCCGCTCCATGTGCTAGGTAGCATGAGGAAGAAATGACTCCGAGAAGTTCAAAGAGCACAACAAGCTGGAAAGGGCATTTAATAATTTCCTTTAATCCTGGTGACAAACCTGTGAGTAAAATGGAGCAGGGACTTCATCATTTAACATCTGAGGGACCTACAACTTGACCTAGTTGGGGGACTTGCCCCAATTAAAACCTATACTTTCTAAGTTCCTAACTAATGTTCTTTCCCCTATGCTTAACTAACCACCAAACCACAAAGGAGGTGGCCACAGCTCTTACAGACTCTGAAATACTCCTGCCAGTGCCATCATCTCCTGGAAGTCACCCACATGAGAAATCTACACAAGTGACATTTCTCTGGGGCAGTAAGACACGAGCTGGAAACTCAAGGGGCTAATCTAAATGGACAGGGCCCCCACCAGATTCCCCCAGGGTCCATCTTCTGCCAAGGTAGATAGCACCAGTTTATCCCGAGTGATGCACAAAGAAATGAAATAATCAGCCCGACTCCGAGCTGTCAACAGGCAAGCTGGAAGATCAGGCTGCTCCGGCATTGCAGGGCAGGATCTAAGGTCACTGCACTTTATTTAGCCAGAATCAGTGTCATCGGGGAAGATTAAATCTGTGCTACAGTATAGAGTAAGTCACAGGGGACATTTCAAGATAAATAGGACACCTGTGCTGTTACCACTGCCCCCAAATGAGAAGTAAAAGAAAAGCTAAGTAATTTGAATGCAAATACTACCTAAATAAGCTGAAAGTGGAGATACCATTCATTAAATCAAGCTGCAGCTGGGATGAGCTAGAAGGCACCAAGCTGAACATTGGAAATAGAGAAATGAACAAAATCTAGTCTCTAATGTAAGTACTAATGGCTGGGTCTGGGAGAGGACCCATAAATAAATAGCCATGACCATTACATTAAGTGTTGTGTAATCTAGATGCAGACCAGCATGGATCTCAGTGCACAGGGAAAAAGGTTGGGGAAAGTTTGCAAGAAAAGGTACCATCTGAGCTGACACCTGAAGAATGAGTAGAAAAGAAAAGGGGACAGAGCAGGAACAACAGGGACAAAGAGGCCTGAGGCATGTGGGGTGTAGGGTGTATGTGAGGGAGAGCAGGGAGATGGAGCAGCCCAGCAGGAAGGGCCTGGGGTGCTTCTGGACTTCCTCTGTGAGACAGAAGGATCCTGGAAGGGAAAATGTGGAAATAACATGTTGGTATTTGGGCTAGATCAGGAAGCACGGCCTGAAGAGGACCCAGGCTACAGGCAGAGAAACCTGGCCCTGGTTTCAGAAGGAGGTGATAGGACAGCTGGGTTAGGGATTCAGAGGAAGGATCACTGGAGAAAGTCATGTCGTGTTAGACAAATTCAGGGAGAAAACAAAGGGAGAATAGCCCTGGATCTGGATGCCTGGCTCTGTTAGAAGTTGCCAGTCCCCAAGGACACCACCCAAAGCAAGGGATGTTTATGATGAGCAGTCAGGTCCAGCTAAGACCCTCATTGACCTACACCCCAAAATATTACTGTGCCCCAATCATTATATGTAATTCAAAAACACCATTCTGTAAAATAAAATTTTGTTTTTCGAAAGGACCTAAAGCCTACATGCTTATAAATGTACCGTAGCCCTTATTCGACCTTTCTGATTCTCTCACTGCATCTTGAAGGATGTGCAGTGGCCTCTCTCAGTATGTGCACTGAAAATGGCCAAAGCCAGGCCATCCCATCTGAACAGAGAAAGATTCTTTTTAATCAGAAAATGCTCCAGAGACTAAGAAGAGGACACCAATATTGCGATGCAGTTTGAGGGCCGGGTGAATGACCAGGAATTGTAAATTAGCTTCCCCAGAGTGGAGAGTTCAAACTTTATTGTGCCCTAGACCAAGAAATTGGTTATCAGGACCATGGAATAACAAAATTCAGGCTTTACAGGTGCTACCTATCTGGTAGTCATTTCTAATGCAAAAACAGACATAATCACTAGTAATTAAAATAACAGTTATGATTCTGAGCACCTCCTGGGTGCTCAGTACTTAACAATGCAAGTGCAAATGACATGGCATTTGTGATTTCAGGTAATTTTCCCAACACACCAGCAAGGTGGCTATAGCATTCCCATTGAACAGTTGAAGCAAACAAGGCTCAGAGGGCTAGGCAACCTGCCCAAGCTTCAGAAGCTGGACATCATAAAGCTAGACTTAAAACCCAGACTGATTTGATTTCAAAGCCCGCGCATTCCCCCCCCCCCGTGGCTAGCATGGTGCCTGGTCTCAGGGCTTCTCCACAGTCTTAATTTTTCTTTCCTTTGTGACCTGAGCCTAGTCTTTGTGACTGATTTCTAGAAACATGCCCTCATTAGCGCTGCTCCTGTTCTGTTTCTTTTTCCTTGGGTTTTGCTGCAGATTTACAAACTAATCCTGCAACTCATTTGAATGTGGCTGCAGGAGGGAGACCGCAGGGCTCCTGAGACAGGAGACAGTGTGGACACCGACCAGGAGTCAGGTCCACCAGGGTCTCCCCTGTTTATCCCAAGATGAGAGTGAGAGCTGCTGTAAAAATCCTATGGAGAGGGCTACATCTTTGAACTCTTAGATTGTTTTTTAAAGTCACAGACCTTCGTGTTTCTAGTTTGACTTAACAGGCCACCTCTGGCAAGCCTCACTGATAGCCTTTTTAAGAAAATACGTATTAGCACCTGATATAGGCACTTATCAGCAAGAGGTTTCTGCATTAGTAGCTGGGTGGGATGGATAGTTAGGCCAACCCCTGAGATTGAAAAATTGAGGAACCATCCCCCAAAGTAGAGACATCATTCCCCCAAGACTATTTTTTGGCTTGGATTCAAAAAGGCCAGGGACACATCTCAAGCTACCTGACAGAGAAGAAAGTGCTCACCACTGGCCGTGTCTTTGTTTTGCAGTCACAGCCCAGCACATAAATACTACCTGACCACAGACCCCATGAGTGGGGCCGTCTTCCTTTCTGACACCAACAGCCGGCGGGTCTTCAAGATCAAGTCCACCATGGTGGTGAAGGACCTTGTCAAGAACTCCGAGGTGGTGGCAGGGACTGGGGACCAGTGCCTCCCCTTTGATGACTCTCGCTGTGGGGACGGAGGGAAGGCCACAGAAGCCACACTCACCAATCCCAGGGGTAAGGCCTTGCATTGGAATCACTCTCAGTAATGTTTATTGGGGCACTTCCATTTCCAGGAGACCTACATGTTTATCATTGCAAAAAATTCTTGGAAAATACCAATAAATATACAGAGGAAAGTTAGGATTGTGATAATTCTACCTACCAGAAATATTCCCAGTTAATATTTCTTATCTGTTCTTTTCGCTTTTATTCTAAATGTTTGTATGTATATAATATTCACCAAAATCAAGTAAACAAAATGAAGTCACATTAAACAAACTATTTTTGTATCCTGCTTTTTCTCCCTAAATGATATAGTCGGAGCTCTTTTCACGTCATTAAAGAGTCTTATGTGTCCTCATTTTTAATGGCCATATAGTATTCCTCCAAGTGGATGTCCCATCATGTATTTATCATGCTATTGGATACACATGCTCTCTCATGTTATTATTACCAAAAGCACTAGTGTGTCATCTTGGCATATGTTCATGAGCTATGGGGCGATTAACTGTAGGTTTCAGTTTGGAATCCTTCCAAAAGCTAAACTTCTAAATGCTCAGTTTCAGTATTTGTCATTCACTTATTGAACAAGTATGTACGAGTGTGTAGAGCTCTGAGGTTGCATAGATAAGTTCTTTGTAACAGAATAAATAAGACTTGGCTGTGAAGCACTCTGATGTGGGAGAGAGCGAGAAGTGTTCCCTGAGATGGAGGAAGAACTGTGCATGGGGGATCAGAGCTGGGAGAGAGCTTGGACCCTGGGAGTCTTTTTAGAAGGGAAGCCATCATCATACAGACGTCCTGCAGTGGAGGTTTGTCTGTGGTGCCAGCCCCACGGCCAGTGACTCCGTGTCTCAGCTGCAGGGTCCTCATCAATAGAGTGGGGGTAACGATACCATCTGTGTAGACTTCCTAGGAGTGGTCTAAGGGCCAAAATCAATGTATTTCACATGGTATCCTGTAAAAACATCATGAATGATTATATTAGAAGGCCCGGGTTCAAATCAAAGCAGTAGACTCATGAAATCATGCATTCAAATCTAGGCTTTGTCATCTAGTAGCTGTGTGACTTTGGGCAAGTTGCCTAATCTCTCTGAACCTCATTTTCCTCATTTATATAACGAGGATATACTACAGTTATAGTACAGATTAAATATCATCAGAAATATAAATGCTTAGCACAGCAGCATCGGGCACATAGTAAACATTGCATAAATGGTGACTCCTATAACTATTGTTATATTGTATTACAATGCATTATGTCACCTCCCATGGTATACCCTCATAGCATATTATCTCTACTGCATGGCTGGAGTGCTCAGGTGGTAACTGTGGGGTAAATATTGTGTCATCAATAGTTAATTTCCCTCTTAATTATGATTTGCTGTATGAACAAGCAGTGAGGAGGGGAGTGAGCACCGACCTTGCTCTTGGGGACCCTGCCTTACGGTTCCTCTCTGCTACTCACTGACTCTGGGACCTCCTCTTCTGGACCTCAGTTTCCCCGATAGTCTATGAGAGGTTAGCCTAATGATCCATTGGCCTCTCTCTGCTACGACACTCTGCTCTCTGAGAATTCAAAGTTTGTTCTTGAGATTTCTGTTCTGCGCAGGCGTCCCTCAGCGGCCCTGCACACTCACATTCCCTCCCCCTCACACAGATGGAGTGGCAGCGCAATTGCCCAAAAGCCTGCAATTAACCCAGATAAAAATGACAGAGAGTGCCACAATATGCAGACATGCTGCAGTAGGGAGGAGAAAAGATGTCCATCTATTTAGCACAACAAAAAGAGGGGGAAATGAAGTCATTAATCAGGGGACAGATCACTTCGATTAGCCTGTGCAGCCAACTTTGTAAACAAGAAACCCAGTTGTTCATGAAGCACTCATCAGTCCTGGCAGATGGAAGAGAAAGACAGGACAGAGCCAAGAAGACAAGAAAACTCCTGTCTTGGTACTTAAAGAATGAAATTAATTTGCATTCTAGGCAGGGCCCTGGGAAAGGCTCCCAGCCTCGACGAGGCCACCTGGTCCTCTGTGTGAAACCCTCTCAGGCTGCCCAGCCTCAGGAGGCATGGAAGCCACACCAGTACTCCAGGGGCCATTCCTCAGAGCTGGACCATCCCAGCCTACCTGCTGGCCAAGGAAGAGATACAGGGGCCCAGAACAAGTGCCACAAAACGTACAGAGTGCTGGGTGTTTCTCATAATCCTGATAGCCACTAATAATTATTGATGGCTAACTATTGCAAGTTAGATGTTGGTATCCTCATTTTATTAATGAGAAACCAAGACTTAGAAGGGATGGAGTTTGCTGAGGTTAACGCAGTTGGGAAGTCTCACAGCCCAAGCGTCTCCACCTCAGCCAACCTCGTCTGACCCTTTCTTCCCCCGCCTGCCTCTAAGAAAATCAAGCAGAAGTGACAAGTTCTCCTCAGACGTGTCATTTTCTGGGCTACCCCGTCTAGACCAGGCCCCTCTCAGGGGCAAATCTTGCCCTTCATCCCTGAGCATCTACAGTGTGGTAGGGGAATGTCTGACAGGCCATTCTGGGCCTGGGGTGAGAATCAGAATCACCCACGATCAAATTTAAAGTGTGCATTGGTCGGTCACAGGCACAATCACCCCCTGAACTAGTATTTCCAAGAGGGAGGTCAAAAGGGTGTGTGTTGAAAACGCTCCAGGTGATTCTGATGCACATCACTGGCTAAAAAATACTGAGTGCGTATCATGACCACCAAGGTGTTTGCCAAGATCAGAGAGGTGCTCAGGTACACTTGAGATCTGGAGCAGGTCCCCCAAGGGATTCTCACACACATTCAAAAAAGAAATACAGACTTACAACAATACCTTGGTTTGACAGATGAGGAAACAAGTGCAGTGATGTCCAGTGGCTTGCCCAAGATCACACCTGCTGGGCCAGGGAGAAAGTCAACCAAGTGTCAGTCTAGGGATGGAACAGATGATATTGAGTAATCCTGGCTCCTCTCTTTGATGTGCTATCCTTAGACGTTAATTCAACAATATTCTCTATACAAACCCATAGGATTCTTTTCAGATTATGCTTTTGCAGTGACAAATGTTTTAGTCAGCTTTTTCGCTGCTGTGACTAAAGGACCTGATCGGTACAATTGTAGAGGAGAAGAGGTTTATTCAAGGGCTCACAGTTTCAGAGGTCTCTATGCATAGATAGCAACCTCCATTCCTTGAGGCTCAAGATGAGACATAACAACATGGCTAAGTGTGTGGCAGAAGGAAGCAGCTCACCTGGTCATCAGGAAGCAGAGAGAGACCCCACTTGCCAGATACAAATATATACCCCAAACCATGCCTCCAGTGAGCCACTTCCTCCAGACACACCCACCCAATCTGCCTCTAGTTACCACTCAGTTAATCCCATCAGGGATCGATTCACTGATTAGGTGAAGGCTATAACCCAATCATTTCTCCTCCAAACCTTGCATTGTCTCACATGTGAACTTTTAGGGGACACCTCACATCCATACCATAACAACCAATGAAATTAAAATAATAAGGATAGAAAAACTTAAAGAACTATCTTAAAAGAAAAGAAAATTTATTACCAAAAAAAGTAAAATAAAATACAAAAAAAAGTGTATTTTATTATTACATCTGCAGGACTTGAGAAGTCAATTAATTTAAATAATGCACAGTGTAGTGAAAAATACCCCCTTACCACTACCTCTAGTGCTTCAAAACCCCTAGAAGTTATGAGTCCAGTTTTTGTGGGTGACTGAGGTGATAAATAAAAATCTCTGGAGGCAGCAAAGCAGGACTAGAGCCCAGGAGAACCTGAGAACCTGGGTTCCATCCCAGTTTCAAACAAAGCACACAGTTTCTGCACCTCCATCTGTTTGTCTTTAGAAGAGAACCCTGGACTGTGGGCGTGGCTCTAGTATGCACAAGGCCCTGGGTTCCATCTCCAGCACCACACCAAAGGGAGGGGGCTGAGTGTCGCAGGAAGATCTGAGGAGACCAGGCTGCCGAGGTGCTTTCTGTCTCCTTTTGGCTCTGATGCTGAATTCCTGTTTTGGCTTCTCCATCCAGGCATTACAGTGGACAAGTTTGGGCTGATTTACTTTGTGGATGGCACCATGATCAGACGCATTGATCAGAATGGGATCATATCCACCCTGCTGGGCTCCAATGACCTCACATCAGCTCGGCCCCTCAGCTGTGACTCTGTCATGGATATTTCTCAGGTGAGAAGATTTTGTCTACTAGAACCCTGGGTCCCTGAGCTCATCCTCTCATCCACCACCCAGCCACCCAGCCACCCTGCTGGCCCTTCATCTTTGCACCAGACAAGCCTTTAAAGGATGCCCACTTGGTACAGGCCTTTGATAAGCACCAAGGATGCAGACATGACACTGACCCTGCCCCACTCACCTCCCAGAGGCTGTGGGAGGTCATCAAGAGGGGTAACAAGTGTGTAGGCATGGCAGAAGTTCTGGGAAATCTGCCCAAGGCCAGCAGAGCAGGATGGACAGAGCTTTAAACAGTGTTAATTTAAATCCACAGCCTCCTGAACTTCCTCTTTTGTAACACATACAGGTACTTGCATATTATCTATTCTTTTTCTAGTTCATAAACTGCATGAAGCAGGAATTCTGTCTTTACTTAATCAGGTGGCTAGTACACATTGAAGAACAGCCCATATGTGTTGATTGATTGATTGAGTGAGTGAATCCTGGCTTTGCCACTCACTAGCTCAGTAACTTTGGGCAGGTTTTTGAAGTCTTCTGAGCCCTATTTTTCATCTGAGAAATGGAAATCACTGCCATGGGCCTGGCAGAATTGCCTCGAGAACACACACAACAATGCCCGTGAACTTCCTAGTGCTCCTCAACACTTCAGAGGTGGAATAAACTGAATTTCTAAGGTCCGCTTACATAAAGGAGGTGATATTTGCACCAGGTTTTAAAGACTGAATAGGGTTTTTTCTGGGTAGCAAAAAAAGAAAAGGAGACATTTCACAGAAAGGGGACAGGATGTACAAAGGCACAGAGATGTTAATGAGACTGATATGTGCAAAGAACATTGGGAAATTGAACGCCAGAGCTCAAGCTGCTTGGAAGAAAGAGGTAGAGGTTGAAATAGGAAGCATAGTCTGGGGCCAATAGGAAAGGACCTTGCCACATCAGGCCAGAGAGTTTGGACCTTGGCAGGTGGGCACCAGAATCCCAGGATAGATCCAGTAGAGACACATGTGACTAGCAATCCAGCATGACCTTAGGATAGCCTACAGTGACTTGGCAAGTGACCCTTTATTGCTAGGTCCTCGGGCTGGGCTTGGCCTGTGCCATCTTGTCAACGTTACCAGAACCTGGGAAATCAGGAGGCTGACTGTGGCGCTTGCTCCCAGCCCCACTCGTCACGCCCGCCTGTTCCTGACACGTGTGGCTTCCCCAGGACCCCAAGGCTGCTGCTGGCGGTCCCAGCACTGTGCCACGTGCCAGTCGGATGTAGTGCGGTTCCCTCTGCGCCAACTACTGTGATTGCTGCGCTCCAGAATGGAATCTGTTCTCTGCCACTCGTCTTTGCAATTTGGCAGGCTTCCCCTCGCTGGCTCGAGAGTTTCCCTCTCCAGTCTGTGAGCAAGCTGGAATCACCCACCAGGAAGCAGCCACGGCCTAAGGATGTGCATACAAGTATTTTCAATTCTCAAAACGGGCCCTCAACCAGCCAGCGCAGGGTTCTGAACATTTTCAATCCACACATTGGAAAATTGTTTAACTTTAGATAGAGACACTGCCAAGCAGTCAGAGCAAAGGCTTGGAAGACAACTGGCATATATTGGATGGGGGAAAAAATGAAAACCCACACTTACATTCTGAAATCCTAGACTAAAAATTTCTTTACTGCTGGCCCTTACTACCTTTGTCTGAATCTAAGCATGGATTTTTTTTTTTAACAAAACTCTAGTGCAGGCATATATTTTGACATACACATATGGGCAGCAGGTACTGGCTTTCATTCTCAGAGCTTCCTCTGTTACCAATACCCAGCTACTTGGCTGTCCCATCTCAAATAGGGAGGGAAGCCAAAAACAGAACACAGCTAAGAGGCAAGGGTACAAAGGGGAGAACCCAGAAACCTGGACCAACGTAGGAGGAGACAAAGACCAGGTCCAAGATGAGAAAAAGGAGGGAGGCATGGAGTAGAGAGGGGGCAGATTACATGCCTGTAATCCCAGCAACTTGGGAGACTGAGGCAAGAAAATCATGAGTTCAAAGCCAGCCTCAGCAATTTAGCGAAACCCTAAGCAACTTAGTGAGACCCTGTCACATCTAAATAAAATATAAAAAGGACTGGGGATGTGGCTCAGTGGTTAAGTGCCTCTGCTTTCAATTCCTGGTACAAATAAAAAGAAAGAAAGAAAAATCTGGATATTAATATAGCCAGGTATGGCTACCCCAGACAGAGCATCACTCTCTACCTAGGGACCAAATGAGCACACTCTATGTGCTGGGTGCTTTTCTAGTGAGATTAGAGAGCTAAGCATGGCTTCTCTTTTCTCATGTAGCCATCACAGTAATCCTGTAGGGTAGATATTAGAGATAAGGAAACTGAGACCTGGTGAAATAAAAGGTGTTATTTATGCAGAGCCCTTTACTAGATTTCATCAGAGATGCGAAATGAATTTCTTAAATAAAATCATGTAAGTAAACGCCTAGTACAGTGCCTGGCAGCTGCCAATAGGGTGTCAATATTAGGTTCCTTTAAAATCCACAAAAGAACTTCCATGTACATTGCCTCAGCCGATCCCCACAACTACCCTATGCAATATTTATTACCCCTTTTGCTATGGGGTGAGAATGTCAGTGTCTAGGAAACTTGAGTAAGATGACGCTTCTGGTAACTGTGGAATTGGAGTCGAAAGTGAGGTGTCCTGCCCTCCATCCTTTGCTGGGTCTGTGCCATTTGCTGGCCATTCATTCATTCATGTGACAGTCATTTCTGCAAGCACATCACTCTTTAACAAGGCAGTCAGCTCAGAGTGCCTCAGTGAAACAGAGAATACTCAGGAAGACAGGGTGGAGGGGATGCCCCTCCCCGACACGACCCTTAAACTAGGAGCTGGAGGACCTCCAGAGGCATAAGGTCTGCTCCCTCTGTTTTGGTGGTGGGAAATCAAGCCAAAGGCAAAATCATCCCTGATCAGAGGTGAGACCAGATTGGCTTACATACAGTATGGCCCAGAACCATCATGCCAGCTACATGACAGAGCAGCTGTGAGAGCAATGCCTTCTCCACCCCCGGGTGCCCCTGTGTATGCAGCAGCTTTCGACAACATGCTTGCTGTTCATTTCTTCCCATTTCCTCTCTCCTTTCCCTCTACTGATTCCCTCTTCCCCCCCTCCCACCCACCCACTCATCAAGACGCCATCTTTTCATCATAATGACAGGCAGAAAGATCTCGCAAGCAGGTCCCCAAGCTGCCACAGGACCAGAGGGCATAAAATATTTAGCAGCCAGTGTTGACAAGAAATGGGTTTTAGAAAATTGAAAATTCTCCTGTCACTTTAGAGCAAACTGTGTTCTTGATGCAGCCGAAAGCTGGCACAACTGTGCTCCAGAGAGCACTGGGGAGCATGAGCGGCAGTCCAGGCCGCAGCTCTGCAGGGTCTGCAGCGCCCTCGCTCTGTGCAGACAGCCAGGCACTGGGGTCGGGGGTGAGGAGACAAGACCCGAAGACAGACTGCTCTGAAGAACCGAGAAAGGGCTCGCCCTTCCTGAGAATGGCCCTGAGCTAAGGGGACAGATGAAGGTGGCCTTGCCTAGACATATAATTTATTGGGGTTTCATTCTACCTAGGCAAACAATCACATGCACCTTGCAAGAAATTTGAAAAGTTTAAAATCACTAGGAATATTAAAATGGCCTTTTATCCTAGTATGGTTAATGTTTTGAGATATATCCGTCAAGCTTTTAATCTCCTCTCTATCCATAATCGATCTAATTTATGGTTACGTTTCCTCCTAATTGGAATCACACTGTGCTTACAATTCTGTGACCTGTTCTTTCTCCTTAACACATAGCAAACATTTCCCCCTGTCATTACATATCCATCTATAATGTCACTTATAATGGTTACACATAGTATTCTTATTTATGAGTGAACTAAATATGCTATAATTTATTTAGCCAATTCTCAATTGTTGGGCATAACTCCAGTTTTTCACCCTTGTTAAAACTGGGTCTGATGAATATGCTTGTAGACAATGGTATACAAGAGAAAATTCCTGGGAGAGAAACTTCTTATCTAAAGATCTATATTAGTTAGAGTGGACTCCATAAGGGACCAAAGAGCAAGGGTTTATAGGGGGCTCAGGAGCCCTAAGTTGAATAGTCTTTAGTTAGGGCCCAAAAATCAGCAGAAGGAAACACTCATCAACACTTCCAACCCTGTGTGGTGTGGTTGGACCTCTTGAAGGCACAACTAGTGAAGTGCCAGTAGTTCCCAGTGTGATCTATCCAACAATCCATGCCCCATGTCCATTGAGTAAAGCTCTCCTCACCTTAAACCCTGAAGGTTGCAACCTCTTAGGTTCCCACTTAAAGACTTACCAGTCAGGCTCAGAAGAAGCTCAGAGTGGGGCCCCAGACCTGTGAACCCCTAAATCCTACTGCCAACTTTATTAATCCTTTCCAGGAGGACCAGTTCTCAAAGGTATTAGAAACCTAAATTATGAAGAGCAGGGCTTCCTAAACTTCAGTGGGCACAGAAATCACCCAGGGATTTTGCTTAAATGCAGACACTGATTCAATAGGTTTGGGGCAATTCTGACCAGCTCCCAGATGATATCAATGCTGTTTGTCTGGTTATCACCCAATATAAGAGGCAGGAATCCAGTTGTGTTTCCCAACTCCCAATTAGAATCACCCAGGAAGCTTGAAATAATGTCAATGTCCAAACCCCACCCATGGAACTGACTCAGGGTGGGATATGAATACCACTATTTTCTAAAACATCCCCAGACTTATTAGAAATCATCTTTTATACACGATCACATCAGCCATTCATGAAGTCTCTTCTAAACCTCTGAACAAGTCCTACTTAGCCTCCAGACTTCATCTGCCTTCCCCTCCCACCCCATATCACTGTTTGAGCACTCTGCACAATTATTATTTCTGTTTTCCAGATGTGAATATTGAGGCTCAGAGAGGCTCAGTAACTTGCGCAAGGTCATAAGTGGTAGACTAGGATCTGAACTCAGGCCTGTCTGACTCCAAAGTCCATATTCTCACCGGCTACTTTCTGTTGTTATCCCCTCTTCAGGTTTTGTCAGTCCTGACAGAGACCATCAATGTCTCAGTGAAATGGTTTTCCTGTGCTCAGGGGACTAACACTCCTTTTTTGATGGTAGGCTCTGTAAGGATTGGCCAAGACTATATGTAAAGGTGCTTCGGATGCTGTTATAGGTTTTAAGGGGGTGTGGGATGATGAGTGGGGGGCATCCTGCCAATCATTTGAGTGTTCATGTCTCCATTGTTAGGTTCGCCTGGAGTGGCCCACAGACTTAGCCATCAACCCGATGGACAACTCTCTTTATGTCCTTGACAACAATGTAGTCCTGCAAATCTCTGAAAATCACCAGGTACGCATTGTCGCCGGGAGGCCCATGCACTGCCAGGTTCCCGGCATCGACCACTTCCTGCTGAGCAAGGTGGCCATCCATGCAACCCTGGAGTCAGCCACTGCTTTGGCTGTTTCACACAATGGGGTCCTATATATTGCTGAGACTGATGAGAAAAAGATCAACCGCATCAGGCAGGTCACCACTAGTGGAGAGATCTCCCTAGTTGCTGGGGCCCCCAGTGGCTGTGACTGTAAAAACGATGCCAACTGTGATTGCTTCTCTGGAGACGATGGTTACGCCAAGGATGCAAAGCTGAACACCCCGTCTTCCTTGGCTGTGTGTGCTGATGGGGAGCTCTATGTGGCCGACCTTGGGAATATTCGAATTCGGTTCATCAGGAAGAACAAGCCTTTCCTCAACACCCAGAACATGTATGAGCTGTCCTCCCCCATCGACCAGGAGCTCTACCTGTTTGATACCAGTGGCAAGCATCTGTATACTCAAAGCCTGCCCACAGGAGACTACCTTTACAACTTCACCTACACTGGGGATGGTGACGTCACTCTCATTACAGACAACAACGGCAACATGGTTAACGTACGCCGAGATTCTACTGGGATGCCTCTCTGGTTGGTGGTCCCAGATGGCCAGGTATACTGGGTGACCATGGGTACCAACAGTGCACTCAAAAGTGTGACCACACAAGGACACGAGCTGGCCATGATGACATACCATGGCAACTCTGGCCTTCTGGCGACCAAAAGCAATGAAAATGGATGGACAACCTTTTATGAGTAAGTATCTAGCTGTGGCCATTTGATGGCTGTTTCATTAGGTGCATTACAGGTTAGAGATGAATGATGGAGTGTTCATTCTTGAATGTATTTCATTTTTAATTCAGGACTTGGGATGCAAACCATTACCTTTAATATTCTCTCATGTTCATATTCTAGATGATTTCTCCTGAGAAGGAAATTTGTGTAGTGGAGAAGCTACGAGCTTTGGAATCAGAGGATTTGGGCTTCCATCCTAGCTGCACCATGGATTTCATTTTTCTGGGCCTTAGTTCTAAATCTATAAAATGCTCATGGTGAACATAGTACAGGGAGATGATATAGATGAAAAGTCCTTGATAAACTGCTAGCCTCTCCAGATGACCACTGTTCAGAAACATGGTAGTGGGAGAAGAACAATTCCATATAGGTGAATTTTTTTGCAAATTGGAGCTCACATCTTTAAGTACCAATTTTTTTTTTAATTTTTACCATTTTAGATGACCTTGTTATGAGGTGCATTACCTGCCTCCTTTCTGAAACACGTGACACAGATCTAACATAACCTTTCTATTTATGAGTCAGGGTTGTTAATAAGGAGGAGCAACAATGGCATATTATGCTATTGTAGGAAAGAGCTTCTGTGGGGAGACAAGGATGCAGAACCCTTTGCCCTGCCTAAAGTAATGCTCAACTACTCTTTTCTTGGCCCCTCCATGGGGAGTTACTGTGTCCCCATTTGTTTTCAGTCACAGTGCTCACCTCATCTAGCTACATCCCTACTTACCCCCATAAGCAGAAGTTCAGCTTATTACAATCCCAGCCAAAATTAAATAGACGTTATGAAGTGTTTCCCTATGAGGTATTTTAATGAAGGGATTTTGTAACATCTCTTTTTCTAGTTAGATTTTTTTTTAAGCTTTTATTTGTTTTTCCCCAAGATGTTAGCCATGTTCCAGAGTACTGAGACTGCTGAAATGTTTCACCATTAGACATGTGTGCGGGGGATGGGGAAGGACCTAGTCTTGTTGACCATCAACAATGGGCCAGGAACTGCATTGTCATTGCAGTCTCCCTTCACAGCAGCTGGGATTTGGGCTGATATTATCTGCTTTATGGAAGTAAAAGCTGAGGCTTGGACAAGCCCATTTGCCCGCTGTTACATAGTGAGAACACGACAGAACAGGGATTGCAGCCCAAGTCTGTCTGAGGCCAAAGCTCTTGCTTTTTCATTTCTGCCCTGCTGCCCTCCCCCACTCCACCACCCTTAAGGTTGTTAATCTCAAATGCACTTGAATCCTTGAACCCTACATTCTTCTCAAAGTGGATCAAGCATCAGTTTCTCACAATCTTGAAACTCAAAGGAAAAGGACCTATAATTGATTTTTAAATATAACTTACACCAAAAAATGTCACAGCAGTTTGTACAAAGTTCACTAACTAAATTCCTTTCTCCAAACAAGGACCTTGCTAATTGCAAAGAAAAGACAAAGATCCAGGAAAACAGCAATTATCTTGATTAACTCATTGAAATGGAAATACGCTAAATAATTCAATTTTCCCCATTGCCCATGGAAATCTCATACATTATTTAGCCAATACAGGGATTTCTTTGTCAGAGCAAGTCTGTACACTTAATTAGTTCCCAAGGTCACTCCCTCAGATCCCAAACTGAATGCCTGCATGTCACTGCCACTGATACTCTCCACCACCCTGAAATCTAAAACCATTTCCTACACCTCTACCAGACAGGGTCCCTTCCTCTCTTTCCCTGATGAAATCTACAGCCATGTTTGATATTTTAGGAAGAAGGAAAAGTTATTACAATTGCTTTTTATAAAATAGCATTTGAAATTTCAAAGAATCCACTTTATAGGAGTACGCAAGAAAAGCAATGATCCTTCTTGACACAAACCAGAAGTGGAAGATAAAAGCCATACAAATTAAAAAAAAAAGAAAGAAAACTCACTTTTTTTGAGATCCCTCTGTGTGCCAGGCTCTTTCCCATTTCATAGCATCTATGAGATGGTAAACCCTAAGCCTGATACAGATAAATTACTTTGGGTCTCATGGTAGATCATTTTTCAGAGAGCAGGAAATTATTTTCCACATTTTTACATATAAATATGCTAAAGCACAGAGAGATTAAGGAACAAGCTTAAAAATCACATAGTGAGTGTAGAACACAACTGGAACACAAGTCTATGTTCCTCCAATTGCACTGTCCTGGTTCACCTGTGTTCTTTGTGACTTATTGGTATGATAGAGATCTAAGTAGTGTCTATTCTATAAGAACAGCCTGAGGTTCAAAATTTCTGTGAGATAAAATATGAAAAGCTCAATAAAATGATAGTGGCTGCCATTATTATTATTATTATTATTATTATTATTATTATTATTATTATTTCAAGCAATATGTGGCAGTAGCAGTAATTATAGAAATGTTATTTGGACATGAAACTTATTAGCCAGGAGCAGTTTGTAAGTAAACTAATCAGAAGAACAGACCAAAGTTTTAATAGGAGTAGGAATCAAAAGAGCAGACTCAAATGTCGAGTAGAACATATTAAGGTGTGAACTGGGAAAGAGGTCAGGTCCCTGAGGATATCCTAAATGGGCTGGAACATGGCATGCTGAGTGGGCCAAGTAAAGTGGATCAGAACAAAGCAAGGGAGCCAGGCACCTATCTTCACTGAACATTAGCCATGTGACTCAGGCCGGCTAGCTGGCCTCCAGGCCCATGTCTCAACCAAACAAAAAGAATCCCTACCTTACCCCATTTATGGGCCATTCCGAGGATCAAAAACTAAATTAATACTGAGAGGAAAAAATACTTTGCAAGCTATTAAGCTTCCTAGAAGTAAAGGTATACAGTTGTTTATTGTTGTGGTGTTTCTTTTTCTTTTTTTTTCTATTTATTTATTTATTTTAATTAGGTGTATCTGACAGCAGAATGCATTTCAATTCATTGTACACAATTGCAGCACAACTTTACATTTCTATGGTTGTACATGATGTAGCATCACACCATATTGTGTTGTGGTGTTTCTTAACAAGGATTTGTACAGGTTTTACCAATGGACCATTTGCTCTAGTGAAATTTCTCCTTTTAGCTCCATGAGGCACCTTAGTGGATTCAAATCCAAATGTTCTAAAAAATTAAAAAAAAAAAAATCCATCCAGGCCTGCCTGTGACATGGGCTATTACTGAAACAAGTTTAAGTTGGCTTTATCGATCTTCCTAGCAGATTAAATAATACATCTAACATAAACATCACACACTTTAGAGCAACTTGGAGTTCACAGCTCTGGAGATTCAAGGTTACTTTCCTTCCCTGAGCCCACAGGTCTGCTAGTAAAAACCTCCAAGGAGTCTGCAATAGGGACCTCATCTCTAGGGAGGGCCATCAATGCTGTCAGACTTGGCATATGGTCAGAAAACATTTGGTGGCTAAGAAAATGTCCAGTAGCATGAGGCTCCTTCCAAAATTAAGGGCTGGAGATGTAGCTCAGTGGTAGAGTGCTTTCCTAGCCTGTGTGAGGCCCCAGGTTCAATCCCCAGCACCACCAAATAAGTAAATAAACAAAATTGACTTCCTGGGTTGGCATGAAAAACCAACTCCCTAAATGTCAGAGCAGAAAGTGACTATGGTCTCCCATAATGCCTGACGACAGCTCCTGTTATAGGAATGTTCCCTTTAGCTACTGTGAGAACCTTTACTAATTTATCTCTGTGTCAAGCTTAGGGCTTGCCACCTTGAAAATGATTCACTAAATATTTTATAAATGAAACATAAATTCAAGAGGGAAGGAAGATAAAGAAAGGGAGGAAAATATGCTGTAGTGAGAAGAATGCTGGATTCAAATCCCAGCTCCGACATTATCAGTATTCCTGGAAGGACACAGAATTCAACTCAAAGAGTTCAAATCAACAGATTGGGCTTGGGCTTCTTTTTTTAATATTTATTTTTTTTTAGGTGTAGATGGACACAACACAATGCCTTTATTTTTATGTGGTGCTGAGGACTGAACCCAGGTCCCGCCCGCGCTAGGCGAGCGCTCCACCACTGAGCCACAATTCCAGCCCCCAGATTGGGCTTCTTGAATTTGCTTGGGGGATATGAGAGCTAGAAAGAGCATCATTCCCAACCTTATAACGAAAGTAAGCCTGACAACAGGCAAATTCATGGATTTTCCTTGAACTCCTCAGAGGTAATAGAGCAACAAACTAGCCCAGATCCAAGGAGGGGCAGACACCTGCAGAGAGAGACAGGATGTGAGTTTAGCTTCCCTGGGGTGGATGCAACTGGAACTAGTAGGAGGAGCTCACTAGGATGGACACCGTATTTCTGAAGGCCAACTGTGTATGGGCAAGAGAGTATCAAGCCCTGGGAACTGAAATGGAAGGAGTCCACATCCTTTTCAGGAGTTTTCTGCCCCCCAGCCACCACCACCACCAGTAGATTGAAGAAAGATTTCAGAAAGAGACCTTTTTGCTAGACCTGGGGAGGGGTGGAGCAACCGCTGAGGAGAAGAGCACAAATAGCTGCCTGCTCCACCCAGACCCCTATCACCCTGCATCCTCTGAGGAGCAAAAGCCTTCACCTGTGAAGAGAGAGCCAGTCACTCTCCCACTTAGACACAGGTGGAGACCCATCAGCTGAATGAGGGAAGAAAAGCAGAAAAAGTATGTAGTGCAGGAGAAGAGCAGGAATCTGTAAGAGCCCCAAACTGCCGCCTGAGAAGGGGTGGGAGCACTGAGGTGGAGACAGTCCCCAGGGTCAGGGGCACACATACCTAAGGCTGAGTCCTCCTCAGGACAATAGAGAACTCGACCACCACCACCTCCTACTGATTAAAAAGCTGAAAGCAACAGTGCAGAGCAAAGCATTGCTGCAAAAAGGATGGAAAGCGGGTAGAGCATGGAAGGAGACCCTCTGATTTGTGGCACAAAGGACCTAATGCTGAGGATGGAGTGGAAATTGAGGCCAAGAGAAAAACAGTTGGCAGACCAGTTTCTCACCCTAAGCACAAAAAATTGCTAAAAGAACTTAAAGACTATGATGTACTGAGGTAACCACAGAAACCAGTAACTTCCAAGCCAGCCCCAAATCCTAACTAGATTAACTCACAACCCCTCCCTGAAGTCCTAGCAGAAGGAAACTCATTTCCAAACACAAGCCATCAATCTCCGTCTCTACCATGCCTCACGAGGTGTCACATTTTCAACTGAACACGTGTAGGAGAAGAAAAAGCAAAAAGGAATCATTAGAGCCATATTCTGATATGACACAGATGTTGAAACCATTGTTCACGGAATTTAAAATAACTGTAATTGTATCAAAAGCTCTTGTGAAAAAAGGTGAACAGTTTCCAAGATCAGATGGATGAGTTCAGCAAGAAGATAGAAACCCTAAGAAAGAATCAGATGGAAATGCTAGAAATGAGAAACACAACTACAGAGATGAAGAATGCTTTGACGGGCTCGTTGCTCCTGATGACACAGCATGACACAGCCGAGGAAGAAAGACAGGCCAGTAGAAATTATCCAAATGAAAACATAGGAGAAAAAGAGAGCAAAAGAATACCTCAAACCCTGTGGGATAACATCAAATGATCTAGTACACACATAACTAGAATTCTAGGAGAGGAGTTGAAAAACAGGCAGAGGAATATTTGAGGAAATAAGGGCCAAGAATTATTCATAATTAATAATGAACAACAGATCCAAAAAACTCAAAAAATACCAAGTAGAATAAACACACACACACACACACATACACACTTTTCTAAACATATCATATTCAAACTGTTGAATGCAAAAGAAAAAGAGAAGCTCTTGAAAGCATCCAGAAAAAAAGAACAAAATAAAAATTACAGCAGACTTCTCATCAGAAAACACACATACTAGAAGACAGAGTTCAGAAAGAAAAAAAAATGTCCATTTAGATATGATATGCAACATCAATGAGAGACAGACCTGCACTGGAAGAGTGGACTACACCTTTCAAATGAAAATATGTTTTAGAGGTACAGACAGGGATAAGGGGACCAAGAAAAGATGCTGAGGCATCCAAGCACTAAAAACACAACAGCCATTACCAAGCCTCAGGCTGAAGGTCAAGGTGGTTGGCGGGGCATGTAGAATATTGTTGCTGAAGCCCCGTGGGAAGGAGAAAGCACCTGGTAGAAGCTGTTATCATAGATGGGCGCAGCTATTCCTAGAAATATGGCAGTTTTCCTTTTTTGAGGAAAAGCTGGTTCTGACCTCCAGTGTCTTATCAGTGCTGGCCATAGACTTAGCTTAAGCAGACTCGAGCCAGCCCAGGGACTCAGTGATGCAGTGTGCAGGGGTCAGCCTCTCTGGGCACAGAGAAGGGCAGAGAATGGATGGGGGAGGGCATGCAGAATAACCAACATAGAGACTGAGTGGCTGTGCAACATGTTAGACGTAAGGATCAGAGCCAATCCTGGATCCCAGGTAAACCTGGACCCAACAAACTTTCCAGCACATGTTGAGCCTAAGTGCTACATCAGTGAGAGACAGACCTACACTGGGAGGGCGGACTACATCTTGGGAATCCTGAAGGCTAGAATTCATTGTTGGGACTACATTTTATAGGAAATAGTGAGTACAAGTTTTTACTGCAGAAGCCAGTAAGTGCTCTGGCTCTGACCTGATTTTAGAGTGGACAATGATGTAGTGATGCCATTCATTACAGTGACCGAGGCCAAGGGAACTATAGGAGTGCATGGACCGTGAACTCTAATTATTCACAGATGACACAGTGTCCATTCCCCTTGTTGGTGTTGATGCTGGTGTTTGGAACAGTCACAGATGAAAGTCGTAATACTCAGATCTTTTTTTCTGAACAAAAAGTTAAAATCATCAACAGTTTAGTATCAGAGAGGAAATTTGGCATTTTCCTCGCTAGCTGCACATAGTAAGTGGCTCGGGATGAAGTATCAAGTGTGAAGAAGAAGGCCTTACAGTGTGTGAAGATACCCTTTAGCAGTCCTCTTCTGAGAGCCAAGTTCACAGCAACTCGATGAATCTTTTATGTGTTTTCTTTCACTGTGCTCTAGAGATGCTTTGGGAAAATGGAGTGAAGAAAAGTCAGTGGAATGAAATAATGGAAAGCCAATCATTGGGCCATCTCTATCCTCCCTCCAAGAAGGGGCCTGGCATCGCTGCAAAAGTCAACTGCAGCGGTAGCCAAGCAAAGCATCTTGAAGGGAAAACTGTCAGTCTTCTTGACCCACTTGGGACTTCCAAACAGAATTTTTTCCTTAACACAGTGATGAATACAAAGGTTTTGATTTGAAACAGCATCGTTTTTATGGAAAGCTTGATGAAAGAACACACTCTTGAAGGTCAAATAGACCTGACTTTGAATCTATATTCTTTCACTAGCTGTGTCATTTTAAGCAAGTTACTTATCTTCTCTGAGTCTAATCATCACCATTTGTGAAATGACAATAATAATCCCTACCTCAAGATGATTACAAGCATGATGCTTGGTACCTAAAAGATACTCTGAATCTTTGTGAACTTTCGCTTCCTCACACAGGGAATGGAGGGAGTAGTAAACTCTTAATTGCTTTCAATCCATGTTCTGAATAATCAACAACAGTACCTACCATCTTCCTATGTATTTATTCACTCAATAAATATTACTGAGTACCTTCTATATACTGGGTAATTGTCAAGGCACTGAGAATATAGACAAGGTCCCTATCCCCATGGAGCTTATCTTCCAGTAGGAGGAGACAGATAACAAGTAACTAAACAAGATAATAAGTACAGTGAAGACAATATAGTAAGATAACATGATAGAGATGGGGGACCTGTCTATTTCAGAAATGGTAGTCAGGGAAGGCCCCATTTGAACTGAAACTTGAATGGTGGAACTGGCCACACCTGTGTGGAAGAGCATTCCCTGCAAAGGGACAGTCAGTGTAAGCACCTATAGCATGGATTGAGCTTGGCATATTTGGGGAACAGCATCAGAGGCAGTGAATCACAGAGTTACAGAAGAATAAAGGTCACGGGGAAGTCAGAAGGAGAGGCTGTAAGGAGTCAAGTCATTCACATTGTTAAATGCATATCTAGCACTCAAAGTTCTGGATACAATAGTAACCAATTGAAGTGCCTGCTTCAGGGAATTGACATTCCAATGAGGTCAGTCCCCTGGGGTCCTGAAGGCCCTGGTAAGAAATTTACATGCATTTTAAATATGTCATCTCTTTTGGTCTTCTCTGCATCTCTATGAGCTAGATGTTATTATCCTCATATATAGAAGAAGAAACAAAAGGCTCACTGAGGTTATGCTGCATTATGTAACCTGCCCAAAATGTGGTAATTTGTGGTGGAGGTTTGAGGCAGGTGGGAAACAGAACTGCACTCTCATCCTCCAGGGTCACATTGCTAGCAAGTGTGGAGCCGGGATTCAAGGCCTAGACTGTCTGGCTCCAAAGACTTCATGCCAGCCATTCCTTCCATTTCTCATGGAGAGAAAGAAAACTTGTCAATGATTTTTGGGTTCCCATAATTAAAGCCATGATGGTCATAAACAAGCCATTGTCCAGATGTCACCCAATCACAGGACTAGGACTTAAGGCAACCACTCAGAGTCTGGAGTACACAGAACTCCCCCTTCCAGGCCCCTGCACCTTGTTTGAGCGGCTTTGCAACAGAGCAGAAAGGGTTCTGCAGAAGCAACCCTCAGGGCAAAGGTGTTCAGGGTCTGTAGAATGGGCAGCTCCAATTCTTCCCATGCAGAGTCAGAAGAAATTGCTCTGATGGGATAATCATAGGTATTGATCAAGCAGCAGAGAGATCCAGTGGCATTTCTCAAACTTTGAAAGGTAGTGAAATGAATGAATAGGAGAGAAAGTTTTATAAATTGGTTGTTCTATTTGATGTTCATTTAATTAAGACATTCAGTCCTTCTAATGGAAAATGCAAGGAGTGGAAATTACGGGTTTTGGGCTGTCTCATATAAAATGAAAACCAGATCTTGAAGGCATGGGGCCTTTTCGCTATATCTTCTTCAGGTTCAATTTAATTATGCATTACAGGATACCTTCAATAATAATTACAGTTGTCTGCCTTGATACAAAACCTCTTTCTGTCTTGGAGACTAAAACTCTGGGGAGATACCTAGGGAGAGGGCTTAAAGTATCTTTTATCAAGAGCAGCTTCTTCCCTGTGTGCCTTCAGCAGATGTTTATCAGGTGTCTACCATGTGTCCAGTTTCTGTCATGTCATGCAGCAGGTAGAGTGTGAATAAGTCATGGCCTGTCCTCTCCTACAGAGCAGGAACGAGGCCTTGCATGTTCAATCCTGCATTCCTTGAGTTGCTCAGCCAGCATCCCCCGCCTGTCTTCCCTATGCCTGACTCAATTCTGCTGAAGCAGGGATGAACTGGGAGTAGGTCCTCCTGGGTCACAGTGCTGACAGGTGGCAGAATCCAAGTGGTGTGACACCAGATTCCCAGCCTAGTAATCGAACTCCATAAACCTCTCCTGACCTCGACAACTCACAATCCCAAGAGGGAAATGCCTTGTACATCAGCATCCCAGCACAAGAGAAGCATCCTAGGAAAAGCAGGTCACTTTTATATGCTCCTCACAGTACTCCCGGGTGGTAGGCAGGGCTGGGGTATCCTCTCCACTATGTGAATTGGGAAAGGAAAACTCAGAATGGTAAATCATCTTCCTCCAGTTAGATGTCAACAGGTGACCAAGACTTGAGCAAGGAGAGGAGGGAAACAGAGGACTGTATCTGACTGAAAAGGAAAGCAGAACACACAAAACCAAGGCATGAGGTAGAACATTCCAGCTATAGCACCGTCATATTTTTGTTACTCTGTGCTACCCCTTGGTTTCCAGGTATGACAGCTTTGGCCGCCTGACAAATGTGACCTTCCCTACGGGCCAGGTGAGCAGTTTTCGAAGTGACACAGACAGCTCGGTGCATGTCCAGGTAGAGACCTCCAGCAAGGATGATGTCACCATAACCACCAACCTGTCTGCCTCAGGTGCCTTTTACACACTGCTGCAAGGTAAGCCAAGCAAATCCGGGAGTCTTTGGGACACAGGGGGCCTTTGAGAGAAGATCCATTTGTCAGAAGAATGAGGCTAGAAATGCTGCTTCAGGAGCCGCCCAAGAACAGGAAAGAATTATGATTTGTTTCTCTCCCTATTGCCACCTCATTTGCTAAACACACAAGCCGGAGTCCTGTAAATTCTCTCCCAGAAGCTTCAGAGTAATATTTCATTGTCCCATCCCATTATCATCAGAACAAGGGGGAGAGAATCCATTAGCTGCTAATCCAGGTGACCTCACCATTCTGCTATCTTAATGGCTTTCAGATTAAAAGACTTACACTCACTCTGATGCAGGCTAGGACAAAGGACAAGAATAATTACATCTAATTATGAAGGGGATTTAGTCATGGAGAAGTCCTTCCTGAAGCCCATGTGAGGTTTGTACCTCTGCTAGGATTCCTTAGAAAAGAGGCTTCTTCTCTGCATCTGTCAGATCCTCCCTGAGACAGATTGGTCTTTTAGTTTCAGGCAAATCTCATGGTGGGACTCTGCTGTTAGTTGTCTTGCCTCAACTGTTCTCATGGGATGTGGTGGCCCAGGGTGGGCTTGAAGCTTTATTGGATTTTGTAAGCATGAAAGGAAAAAATAATAATCCCTAAAGAGCCCTGCCTGACTCTTTCCTACCCTCTGATAGCTCTTTCTTACCCCCAAAGTCTTTGCCACAAAGCAGTAGAAGGAGCTTTGGGCTGAAAATCAGGCCAAGTTCTAGTTCTGACTCTGCCACTATATCACCCATCATATTCCTCAGTTTTATTCTCCAGGAAAAGAAAGCAACTTGAAGCTGTGTTGAGTGATGTGAGGCAGGACAGGGATTGTTGGGGAACCTGGGGCCCCTGTGCCCACTGTGCCAAATCCCACCACATGAACTGGAAGGAGTCAATCTTCTCTGAGCCTCAGTTTCTGGGTGTGGAAAATGGGGCTGCATTATAATACCTGCCTCATTGGCTGCTCAGATGATCTCTTTAGACGATATTTGTAAAGTAACTAGCATGGGCCAGGCACAGTGTATTGCTCAGTAAGTACTTGTTGGGTTAATTGAGTAATTAATTAATTAGCAAGTAGCTTGAGTTACCATAAAAGAATAAATGTATATTTGTACAACAGCTTTTATTCGCAAAGGTAGTCCTTCACTTTTCAAAGAGATAGAGGAAAAATAGTGGTACTCAGAGAGAGAAAGCAAGCCCTGGCATTTCTTCCCCCCAAGCACCTTTAATAGTGGGTTGAGACACCCGGAGAATTTATCCCCTGGCAGGGGATAAATAGGGCCAATGAGTACTCCAGACATGGTCCTTCAAGTCTGTTTTCTTCCCAGTGGCCAAGAATTGTATCGTCTATCCACTGCATCTTGCTACACCTACTTTGAGCATTTTCTTCCCCAAAGATTAATTCGGCCTTTTTATATTTAGGCAACTTTTAAAAATTCAAAAGTGCCATATCCCTCAATTTTAAAATGTACCATCGTTTTAATAATAGTTTTTCAGGCAGAGGATAAAAAGTACACACTGCTTAAAATACATAGCTGGACTGTAAGACACATTCCAATTTCAGAACATTGAGATGTGAAAAGGAAAAGTGCATCCTGGGATCCAGGAAAATACAGTACCTGTTTCCCCCTTTTGTACCTCTGCCAAGCTCCCTTTCCTTCTTGCACACCAGGCCCAGATGCTCGGCTTCACATTCACCTCAGTAGAGTCCTTGTGAAAAGCCCTTTTGGTTTCATCCTGTCTGAGCCATGGGAAGTAATAAGAAGCAGCTACTAATGAGCAGTGGCCTTGGGAAGTCACAGCCTGCATTAAGTGAGGTCATGTGACATGGACCTCTGCAGATGCTTGGTCCATCCAAAGTCCCTGGTAATGGACATATGTGGATGCAGAAAGAAGCAGCTTTAAAAAGATAAATTGACAGGTTTTTTCACTCTTCAGAGGGAGTAAAATACAGATTGCCAGTGAATGATGCATAGCAACTTTGGGGCAGATTTTAGAATTCATATGTGCAAGGGAAAAAGTGTAGAAAGATAAAACAGGGAGGGAGTTTAAGAGAGGGGGACCAATTTGATGCCATTCTAGCAGAGAAGATTTGGTGAGGGTTTCCCATGAAAACTATACCCTTGGGACTTGACATAACCTGGATCATACCTAATCAAGCAAATATTCACTATACATAAAAGTAGAGCAATAAAGATACCTAACATTTTTGGAGCACTTATCAACTACAAAAGTATTATTTTTAGCATTTTATATCCATAGTCTTTTTTAATCCTGATAATAAGCTGATTAGGCAGGTCTTATTAATATATTCATTATCCAAATGAAGTCAATGAGTAGCTAAGCACCCTGTCCTAAGTCACACACCTGAAAGAGTATTTGGACTTGGATAAATAGGCTCCTTAACCCATTCTCTTGGCCTCTAAAGACAAGAAAGAGAGCTTTTATTATTTTTTGGTTTTGTTTTTATTTTTATTGTTTTTAAGGAAGAGCTATTGAAGAGCACTAGAAAGTTCACTATTACAGCTGTGTGAAATGGGGGGGCGGGGGTGGACAGAATGCATGTGATGGTGACCACCTCAGTGCCACACACAGTAAACTAGAAATAGCCAACATTTACATAGTACCACCTGCCAGGTCCTGTCCTTAGCTCCTTGTATTCATCTCGCTTCACTCTCAGAGCATCTCTGTGAGACAAGGGCACAGTTATTACCCCTATCTTACAGAGAAGCAACAGAGGCACACCAAGCATGTGGCCATGGTCTCACAGCAAAACCATGGCAGCGCTGGAACCCAAGCCCATGCTCTTTCTGGGCGATGGCACTCAGTGAGCACTTAGACATTGGGCAGTGTGTTCATTCCAGGATGGTGGACCCTGCACCCCTCAGCTGTGAGCCACTTATGAGGCCCACATAGAGGCTGAGAAGTGTACAAGAGGGGAAGGCGTTCCTCTGACCAGAGGAACAGGGGGCGCCTTGGAAGAAGTGACATTTGAGCAGAGCCCTGCTGGAAGGACTTGGGCTAGCTTCCTCTAAAGACAGCAGAAACACAAGGAGGACAAAGGAGTGAAATTCCCACACAAGCCCAGAGATACTGCTTCCATTTACAGAGGAGAACTCATGGTGCATTTTAAAGATGAAGTTTACCTTTTTCTCCAGAAGTTTCTTTAGCTAAGGAGCCAAATTAAAATGTTTTAATTAGATTTAAATTTTCTAATCAGAGCTATTTTAAAACCATTGTCGTAACAATTTAAAATGTGTGTGTGTGCAGCATTCTGTCAGTGATTTTAGTATTATTTTTTACATTGTTATAAAGAACACTCTTATCCTAGGGCATATCAAAAGACTTAAATATGCTCTAGTAATCCTACTTTAAGGAATCTATTTTGATTAATCCAAAATGGAAATTTTGGATTCTGATTTATCCAAAGAAAAACATTTTAATTGAAATATAATGACATAGCTCAAATTTACCCTTTTTTATAAATATGCTGAAGCCTTCAATCTTTTATTTATTTATCTTTATGGGGTACAGGGATCAAACAGATGGCCTTGAGCATTCTAGGCAGGTGTTCTACCACTAAGCTATGCCCCCAGCCCCAAAGTTCACTCTTCTGAAATGTGCAATTCAATGGCTTTTATCATATTTTCCAAAGTTGTACTGCCATCAACATGATCTAATTCTGGAACATTTTTAACACCTCAAAAAATAAGTCTCTTACCTATTAGCAATCTCTTCTGCCCTGGAACCATTAATCAACTTACTTTCTGTCTCTCTGGATTCACCTACTCTAGACATTTCCTATACATGAATTCATACATTTGGGTGCAATGTGGCACATGCCTATAATCCCAGTGACTCAGGAGGCTGAGACAAGAGGATCCCAAATTGAAGGCCAGCTTCATCAACTTAGCAAGACATTGTCTCAAAATAAAAAATAGAAAGGGCTGAGGTTGTGTCTCAGTGGTAGAACACTCCTGGGTTCAATCCCCAATACCAATAAGCAAGTAAGTGAAAAAATACGTGGTCTCATACAACATAGCCTTCTGTGTCTTCTTTCATTTAGCATAATATTTGAAATATATTTATTTACACTGTCCAGTAATTGTGAAAAACTGGAAACACACTGAATACCTATTTGGGGCATGGTTAGATAAAGAATAGTACTTCCATACAATGGAATACTTTATAGTCATTAAGAAAAATGTTTATAAAAATATTCATGGGTATGATATAATGCAGTGATGAGTCCAAAACTCCACAATTATTTAAAATTTTAAGTGTATTGGGAAATACCCTGAAATCTACAAACATACAAAATATTTCTAATGCTCTTATTTGAGTACTGAGATTATGGATATTCTTGTCCATGTATTTTCCCAGTTTTCTTCAGTTATCACATTTTACTCCTATGGCTGGGGGAATGCTCACCTCCACTCCATCCCCAGCCCTCCTGAGCACCTGTGTTCTCCTCTCCTTCAGACCAAGTCCGGAACAGCTACTACATCGGGGCCGATGGCTCTCTGCGACTGCTGCTGGCCAATGGCATGGAGGTGGCACTGCAGACTGAGCCCCACCTGCTCGCTGGTACTGTCAACCCCACGGTGGGCAAAAGGAATGTCACGCTGCCCATTGACAATGGCCTCAACCTGGTGGAGTGGCGGCAGCGCAAGGAGCAGGCTCGAGGCCAGGTCACCGTCTTCGGGCGCCGGCTGCGGGTGAGCAAGGCCTTGGAGGCCACTGCACAAGAGTGCATGCTGGGAGAGGATGAGGAGACCCTAAGAATTGGGGTCTGTTCTCAAAACTCTCTCTGAGACCTTAGATTCCTCACCTGCAGAGGGAGGTTCTAAAGTAGGTACCACATGTCATGAGAGGCTCCTGTGTGGTCTTTTCAGCTTTAACTTATGTAAGGATCTATAGCTTTGGAGTTAGGTAGGAGGCGAATTTCCAGCTTATTGTTCCAAGTGAACTTGGGTTTGTCAGTCGTTTTAGAGCTTCCATTTCCTTCTCCATAAAAGGAGGAAGATAAAACTGATTTTACAAGTTGCTACAAGGATTAGAGGTAACGTGTGAAGTGTCTGATTTAGACGAGGTGGTCAAGGATAGCTGCTCTTCTTGTCAGTGCTATTATTGTAATTGTCAGTACTGTTGCTAATGTGTCCCAAAATTCTTTGTATCTCTTTGGAACCTAAGCCACGGTCTCTTTCCAGAAAGAGTGACTGTTCCTAAATGACCAAAATGACCTCACTATAACTGTCACTGCAGGGAACTGGCTTTGTGCTATGGCATATCAGAGCACCTTGCAGGGTGTGGATGCCTGATTCAGCGCCTGTCTGCTCACCTCCCATGAGCAGAGTGTGGCTGTGGCCTGGGGGTTCACGGCCCAGCAGTATTTCCCTCCAGATTCACAAAGGAAAGAACAGGCAGAGTGAGAGCTGGTGACCTAGGCCTGGCTTTCAACCCAGCACTTTGCAGACCACAGGTGCTCAGTAGGTGTTCACTGAGCTGAAGTGAACCACAGAGTGGAGCTAGATCTTCCCAACATCCCCAAGACCAGAGAAGCGTCCTTGTAGCTGCACAGCTTGGGCTCCCTTCATTCCCTGCCTTTCCTCAAAGACAGCTCACCACCTAAGTTCCTTTTTTACATGTGGGGCAACCAAGGTCCAGAGAAGGCCAGTGATTTTTCCAGAGTCACATAACTAGGCCATGGTAAAGATGACAAAGTAGGCCCACAACAGATACCAAAATGTTAAGTGACATCCAATATCAAAAACTAGAACCCAGAAAACCAGGCTTCCTTTGTTCCCACCAACTCAGCCCAACGCTCTAGTAACCATCTGATGTGGGAAAACAGCCTCCTGCTAGTTCTCTCAGGAAGGCCTCACAGCTTTTGTTCTCAGGGGCCTGCCACCATCTGTGGCCCTCACTGAGACCCCACCAGAATTCTCAAGCAGCCCTTCCTGCACATCTGAGGCAGTGTGCAAAATGGGGAGTTAAACCCAGGTTGGATTCCTGCTGGGCCACGTGTGTAGCCTCAGCAAATCCTCTGAGCTTCAGGTTCCTCTGAGAAACAAGACGACATATTGAAAGCACCTAGCCCAGTGCCATAGATCCCAGGTGCTCTATAGAGGGCATCGATTAGTACTATTAGGATTTTCTCTCCACTGTGTGAACTGGACCAAAAGTTTCCCAGGCTTTAATTGGTCTCTCTCCCAGCCTGAGATGGATGGTGCTCCAGTCGGGTGGCCACATCTCGGCTTCCTCCCCAAATAAATGGCCACCCACAGTGGAAGCATGTGGAATTAGAATGTTAGCCGGGTGTGCCTCCCTATAATGGAGTTCATTTTTTATATGACTGGGAACTTTTTTAATAAAGAAAGATGTAAAATAATCTCATTGCCGCCACTGCCGAGCACAGGAAGCATTAGGTGCTCCCCAGTGAGCTGCTTAATTCAATTTTATTAATTTTTGCCACAAAGGTACAACTCCCCTTCACTGGGGTCCCAGGGGGTGTTGGGGCAGCTGTGTGGGTGGCACCACCCTGGGGGCAGCCATAGGAGGACCTTCCAAAAGGTGCCTTAACAAGGCCCCTGTCTTGTGGGTAGTGCAGCCCTGTCTCTGTGGGCTGTCTCTGCAAGGAACAAGCGTCAGCCTCCAGTGCCTTTGATTTTTCACAGGAATTGTCTGCCACACTGTTTTTGCTTCTACAATTGTGTTCGATTACCCCAGGGAAGGCAACCTTATTATAACCAGGCCATTCACCGCTAAAATCGTCGCAGTATCATCATTATAAATCCTTATTTTCAAGGCCTTAGAACTTGAGTGGGGAGAGAGGGAGACATACACATCTCTCCTTTCTCTGAGATTGACCATGAACATTTGCTGTCATTTAATGGAAATAATCTCAATCATTTATCCAGTACCGTCTCTGTGTCTAGCATTCCACTATGTAATTTACTTAAGTTTCTCGGATCCTCACAACAACTCTGTGGTTACACAGAGGAAGAAACCAGGACACAGAGAGGGGAAGACACTTGCCCAAGGGCACACAGAAAAGCCTGTCACAAAGTTGAGGTTGGATTCTGGCCTTAATTCCTAGACCTGAGTGTGCCCTATCCCCCCACACCCCCCACACACATACTTGTTTTAAACTACAGAGGACCCCAGAGAGATTTCATTTCCTCAGGCCACATGTGCCATTGTGCATTATGTGACCTAATTATCTGCTTTCCTCTTGAGCCTTCCTACCTGTTGAACTTAACGGGTAACTAGTGGAGAAGACAGAATATGTGCCCAAATGTCCCATGAGGCCAGGTGGCCATTAGAGGGAGCCAGCATTTTAGTACCTGGCAGGGTTTCAGGGGAAGTCAGTGCCTAAGGGCCAGATCCAAGTACAGAAATAGATCCCCAAAATATATTTCTTTACTAAACTACGAAAACCCTGATCTTCTACCTTTGAGGGAACTCTGTATTTCTGACTCTGCAAAGAAATTAAATTGCATACTGACCCAGCAGCTCAGGTGGAGACTGTACAAGGGGCTCCTGATTCTGGATTCAGGAGCAAAGCATTCTGAAGCTGCGACTGGACCCCAACCAGCCCAAGCCAGAGAAGCCACCCTAGGCCCAAACACCCACTGCCTCCTAGGCCTCTAGAAGGAGGAAGAGGAGGGTGGGGGAGGAAATGATGATGTCTTGGGAGCTGATGGAGGTGATCACAAGCTCTGACTGTGGGCAAGGGCAGGAGAGTTCCCAGAGGCGTGGGAAGTCCAGAATCCTAAGAAGGCCAGGCTTGCCCAGAGAACCACTGAGTGTCTATCAAAATGTCACAGTGGTGAGTCAGGTGCAGACTCAGTTGTTCCCCAGCCATGAGATCTGCAGCAAATGCCTTCACTACTTGGGGCTTTGTTTTCATCAGTGTCAAACATAGCATGGTGTCCAGCACAGAATTGATATGTCAGGTATTTTCTTTGCTAGGCCTACTTGGTGGCTCTGTTTTTAGGAGGGAGCCAAGAGAAATCTGCCTATTTCTTTTTTAAATATGTCCTCATTGAAAAATCACATTAGAAAATCACATGGATCCTCTTCAGTCACAGCTGCCATGTGCTCAACATCTGCCTTGTCTGTCCTCCCATAATGCCCTGTGCAGTTGGCATTACCATTCCCATCTCACAGATGAAACATCACAGAGCCGACAAGCGACAGAGCCAGGAATCAAACCCATGGGTGTTGACACCCACAACCTGTGCTGCCTCCTCTACTCAGGAGCTTCTCAGCACAGGTGAGAGCTACATTGTCATCACACAAAATTCAGTGTCCAGGCTAATTTTCTTTATTACCCCTTCCCCAGGTTCACAACCGGAATCTCCTGTCTCTGGACTTCGACCGTGTAACACGCACAGAGAAGATCTATGATGACCACCGCAAGTTCACCCTTCGGATCCTGTATGACCAGGCAGGGAGGCCCAGCCTCTGGTCACCCAGCAGCAGGCTGAATGGCGTCAATGTAACATACTCCCATGGGGGCCACATTGCCGGCATCCAGAGAGGCATCATGTCTGAGCGAATGGAATATGACCAGGCGGGTCGGATCACATCCAGGATCTTTGCTGATGGGAAAACATGGAGCTACACATACTTAGAGAAGGCAAGTGTCTGTCTCCCTCCACCACTGTCCTTGCAATATAAAAGGTCAATCATTATGGTTTAACCCATGGTTGGACCTCGCTTGCTGACTTCAGTGGAATAAGTGTGACCCAGGCAGTCTTCCAAATGGGAGATAATCATTTTTCAAAAAGAAATGTTCAGGAAAATCAACCAGCAAGGGTCAGGGGCCCAAGAGGCATCTGGATGGATCATGGTGATGATGTGGCAGGTGGGGATCCTAGGGAAGGAAACATGAAGGTCTTGCCTGAGAGAGTGGAGGTAGGAACAGGACCAAACACTAACTGGATTTATAGAACAGAACTCATGTTTCTGACATAGGGCCGGGCTCTGCTCTGAGGTCCAACACTTGGTGCAATTCCATCATGGAGAACCAGGCAGAAGCCTGGAGACTGAAACTTAGGCAGGAGGATTCATTTCATCCCAGGGACTAGAAATCAGAGTCACCTAAAATCAAAAGTTGGTCCCAAATAAGAGAAAACCATTGCTTTAATGACTAGATGTGTCTAGGCCTGTTATCTGCTGACTTTTTCCTGGGGGGGGAAAAAAAAGATTCTGAACTTCATGCTCCAATTCTGGTACTCAGATCCCACTTTGTTTCCTGCTCTTGGTCACCTGTCCAGGACCAGACTCTGTTTCCTCTGTGGTATGTGTTCCCTGCCTGTGCTGGGTGAGCCTCTCTTGAAAGCAATGTTCTGTGTTAATACCGAAGGAGAGAACTTGAAGGTCATCCAACAAACTGAAAAACCAAACCCAGGGGAGGGGGAGAAATACCCAAGAGCCACACACTAGACCTACTGCTAGAGGCCAGGTTCTCCCTATCACAGCCTGCCTCTGACCTGGTACCATTGGAGCAATTGAGCAAAGCCTCCTGTACCCTTCTCAGACATGGTCTTGATGCTATAGGCACAGGGGGTCCACAGAAGCTGCTCAGCCAGCAGATGACACCATGGGACTGTCTTATAGAGAACACCTCGCTTGAGTAGGAAGGTTAATTTGAGAAGTCTGCTGCAAAGAAGCCTGTAGGAGGGCTGTTGAATTTCTTTAGGCCAGTGCACCCCAACCTTCCTCACAATCCACCACACACAGAAGTGATCAGGCCTGTGCCACACCAAGGACCTGCTCACAGAGGAAAGCAAACGGTCTGAGTGTTCTGGGGCCCAGGCCTGCCAGGGCCAATGGCCAGGGAACACCCCACCACAGTACATCCATAATAACCCGTTTGCAGCATCCTGTGGCACACGGTTGGAAGGCTCTGGTTGGGCATCGCCCAGGACCACTTTCCTGAGCCTTGGGTACCAGATGTAGCCTTCCTCCTCCTTCCCCTCCCCTCATCTCTTGGTTTTCCTCTCCCTCCAGTCCATGGTGCTGCTTCTGCACAGTCAGAGGCAGTACATCTTTGAGTTCGACAAGAACGACCGCCTCTCTTCCGTGACAATGCCCAATGTGGCCCGGCAGACACTAGAGACCATTCGTTCAGTGGGCTACTACAGGAACATCTACCAGCCCCCTGAAGGCAACGCCTCCGTCATACAGGACTTCACCGAGGATGGACACCTGCTCCACACCTACTACCTGGGCACCGGCCGCAGAGTGATATACAAGTACGGCAAGCTGTCGAAGCTGGCTGAGACACTGTACGACACCACCAAGGTGAGCTTCACCTATGATGAGACTGCAGGCATGCTGAAAACCATCAACCTACAGAATGAGGGCTTCACCTGCACCATCCGCTACCGTCAGATCGGGCCCCTGATCGACCGGCAGATCTTCCGCTTCACCGAGGAGGGCATGGTCAACGCCCGTTTTGATTACAACTATGACAACAGTTTCCGAGTGACCAGCATGCAGGCTGTGATCAACGAGACCCCGCTGCCCATTGATCTCTATCGCTACGATGATGTGTCAGGCAAGACAGAGCAGTTTGGGAAGTTTGGTGTCATCTACTATGACATCAACCAGATCATTACCACAGCGGTCATGACCCACACCAAGCATTTTGATGCCTATGGCAGGATGAAGGAAGTGCAGTATGAGATTTTCCGCTCGCTCATGTACTGGATGACAGTCCAGTATGACAACATGGGGCGAGTGGTGAAGAAGGAGCTGAAGGTGGGACCCTACGCCAACACTACCCGCTACTCCTATGAGTATGATGCCGACGGCCAGCTGCAGACAGTCTCCATCAATGACAAGCCACTCTGGCGCTATAGCTATGACCTCAATGGGAACCTGCACTTGCTGAGTCCTGGGAACAGTGCACGGCTAACCCCACTACGGTATGACCTCCGTGACCGCATCACCAGGCTGGGTGATGTGCAATACAAGATGGATGAGGACGGCTTCCTGAGGCAGCGGGGTGGAGACATCTTTGAGTACAACTCAGCTGGCCTGCTCATCAAGGCCTACAACCGGGCTGGTGGCTGGAGCGTGAGGTACCGCTATGATGGCCTGGGTCGGCGGGTGTCCAGCAAGAGCAGCCACAGTCACCACCTACAGTTCTTCTATGCAGACCTGACCAACCCCACCAAGGTCACCCACCTCTACAACCACTCCAGCTCTGAGATCACATCCCTCTACTACGACCTGCAAGGACACCTCTTTGCCATGGAGCTGAGCAGTGGTGACGAGTTTTATATCGCTTGTGACAACATCGGGACCCCTCTTGCTGTCTTCAGTGGAACAGGCTTGATGATCAAGCAGATCCTGTACACGGCCTATGGGGAGATCTACATGGACACCAACCCCAACTTCCAGATCATCATCGGCTACCATGGAGGCCTTTATGATCCACTCACCAAGCTCGTCCACATGGGCCGACGGGATTACGATGTGCTGGCTGGACGCTGGACTAGCCCAGACCACGAGCTGTGGAAGCACCTCAGCAGCAGCAACATCATGCCTTTTAATCTCTATATGTTTAAAAACAACAACCCTATCAGCAACTCTCAGGACATCAAGTGCTTCATGACAGGTGAGGACTGGGCTCCTTCAGAGGGTGGGACCCCCATTGCTCTGGTCATTTGGCAAGACTTAGTCTTCTTTTTTTTTTTGAGAGAGAGAGAGAGAATTTTTAAAAAATATTTATTTTTTTCTTAGTTTTCAGCGGATACAACATCTTTGTTTTGTTTTTTATAAATGTGGTGCTGAGGATTGAACCCAGGCCGCACGCATGCCAGGCGAGCGCACTACAGCTTGAGCCACATCCCCAGCCCCAAGACTTAGTCTTCTTAAGGAAATATTGACTTGACCTAAGAGCATCATATCCCAAAGCATATATATTTAAAAAAAACACTAGTTCAGAGAATACACTGGAAGTCATGATTCTGGCATCAAATAAACTTGAAAGGGCCACCATTCTTAAATATATTTCATAACACTTTTCAGTTTGTGAGAGGCTCTAAGAAGTCATAGTGAAAAGAGCTGTTTAATATATTTGCCCAATATTTCTCAAACTTATTTGACCATGAAAACCCTTTTTTTACCATGAAATCCTAATATCTCACTGGATACTTCCCTTGGAGTGCACTTTGGGAGTTTCTGATATAGAAATCAAACTGGCTCTGAGATTCTGATAAATCAGGTTAAGGTATGATTAAAATAAAATCAGTTCTTAATTTGTGATGATGGAATAGAAAACTCAGACTTTGGAGACAAAGCTGAGGGAAGGATCCGCCATTGCTAAGCTATCACAGGTTTGCAAAATTTTCTTAATGTCCCTGAATTCCAGTTTCCTGATCTATAAATTAAAATTAGAATATCCACCCTGACTCTAAATAGGCAAATATGCATATGAAAAACCTTACAGCAACAACTAAAAAAATTTAAAAATAAAAAATAAAACAGATACATAACTAATAATCAGTAGTGAAGATAAAATAGAAGATGAAGCGAAAAAATCCAACAATTGCACGAAAAGTAACAAGGAACACATGGAATAAATAGAAAAAAATACTTACCTACCACCTAGCTGCAAGGGTAAAATGAAATGTATTTCATACCAAACACAGTGCCTGACTCACGTTGGTTCCCTTTCCTTTTCTCTCTAATTGAAAAAGTGAGCTTTGATTTCCACTGTTGTGAAACTGATTTGAATATAGTATCCAATGGGTCCTGCAGGCAGGGATGTCTCCAGCAGCCACAGTTCTCCCAAGCAAGTAACTATGCCCAGGTCAGCCACAGAGAACCTCAAGTGGGAGTGGCTGTGGGGCATGGATAAAGCCAGAATGTCTTACATGAGAATGTGTAGTGGGCAAAAATTGGGTGTATCCCAGCTTGCAATCATGATAGTCTCCAGTCGTTTATCCTGTGACACAATCCTCTGGCCCTCTCTCTTATGACAGTAAATGTCTCCTCTGTGCATTCATTGTTTTAGGCACTAGAGATAGAAAGAGGACCCCTGCTGTCCATAAATTCACACTGTAAGGCAGGTGACAGTTGCTGTCCACTGTGGGAGTCCATGGTGAGGATTTGTAGGGAAGGCCAGTGCAGCTCAGAGGAGTCCTGGGGAGGCCTCACAGAGAGCTGACACTTGGGGCTATTTTTGAGGGGTTTTTATCAGGTAGTGAAGAGAAATGCGTTCCAGGAAGTGGGAACAGATGTACAGAAGTGTAAAGAGGGCATCATATATAGCTCCCAAGAGTGTCCCTATGGACATGGCTTCCTGGCCCCCAAACTTGGCGTCCTCATCTGGACCCTGTTTCTGCTCACAGCATAGGAGGATTCCTTTTTTCAGGAAGGAACTCCAGGTTGTTGTATTAAAAGCAAAAGTCTCAAGCATGGGCAAGAATTGAGAACACGGTGATACACAGGTGTGATGAAAACATACTTGGATCCCCGAGATAAACACGAATATCCTGACAGTGTTTCCAAGCATTCACTATGTTCGACTTGGCCACTAGCTCTAGAGAAACTTGACAGATTGAGATGACATTTCCATTACATCTGTCTACATTAAGCACACCCCCTGCCTCACCCTCCAGTGAGTTTCCTGTGAGACATTTTGGCAGGTTACTATAGCTGGAAAACACTGGTGAAATAGGACATGTACTTTCTATCAAAAAATTGTTTCAGATTGCCAAAATATTATTATCCCCCCCTTTTTCTTTGTATACCACCATATGCATATGGTCTCCTTTCAGAATAGCATTAGCATGACTAACTGCTCTATGCCAGGCCCTTGCAGACTTGATCTCCTTTAAACTTGGTGATAACTCTAAGATCACTTCCATTATCTCGTTCTATAGATGGGACATTCAAGGCTCCAAACAATGAAGTGTCGCCCAAAGTCACATAAACCAGGGCTCTCTGGCTCCAGAACACTTCCCAGGACAATCATGCTGGTCTCCAAATCCTGTTTTTAAGAAAACAATTCATCTGGGAATATAGCTCAGTTGGTAGCGTGCTTGCCTCACATGCATAAGGCCCTGGGTTCAATCTCCAGCATCACAAAAAGTGAATAAATAAATAAGAAGTTTCTAAGAAAGCAATTCACCACCCAATGGGGTACCTAATACTTTCAATTTGGGTTTTAATTTCCAAGTCAGTTAAATCCAATTATATATTTCAAGTCAGTCAAATATTATTATATGTTTTGCTAAGGATCTACAACAGACTCAAGCATAATGCTGCCTTCATGGAATGCATGGCCCAGGGCTGCTTTTATCAAATGTCTTTGTGAACCCACCATGAGAATAAGATTTTTATATCACAGTAAGACACTAAAACAAAAGGCTTGCAAAATAATCCATGTGATATGCTCATATTTTCTAGTCTAATCTACTCCATTTCAGGAAATATGCTTGTCATGACCCACAAAATTATTTTTACTACATAGTAGGTCCTATCCCACAGTTCGAAAAACAGTGGTGTACAAGAGAGGTGCCAGATAAGTGATCAAAATTTTAGCAGATCGCTAATGAGAAACCAAGATACTACTCTCACTAAACCTGACCTTTTTGTTTCTGTGTAGGCTATAGGAATCCTCACTTCCAGCAACAATGACAACAACAACAATAAAAATCTCTTTTTCCAAAGATTTCTTCAAGGTTCCTGACATACACTCCAATCAGGGAGGCATAGGTCACATAACAACCCTTGAAGCAATAACTAGGGCTGGAGACAGTACACACTCATTGACTCAGCCTGGGTCACATGAGCCATTACTGATTCAGCTTCCCTAGAACTACATGAATACTCATCCCCTACTCCCACCCCACCCCAACACCCCCCCCCCAAAAAAAAAGAAGGCAGAATGGGATGCTGGGAAGATGACCAAAAAATGTCAACCCAGATATATTGTATACATCATTGCACTTAATCTTCACTTGAAGCCTGGGAGGGGGGAATAGTGACCCCATTTGCAAAGGCAGAAAATGAGGTTCAGAGAAGTAAAGTAACTGGCTCACTGAGACGTGGCAAGGCTGGCATTAGAACTCAAAACCCTTGTTATAAAATTAGAATATACTTTGTAAAGAACAAAGCTGTGCACCTGCAAAAGGATTAGTAGAGCTTGCATTTCATCATCCTCCTTGGCCCCATCTGCACCACTGATGTCTGGGTTAAGAGGAGTTTTTTGTTATTGTTTTGGGGTTTTTTGTTGTTATTGTTGTTGTTGGTGGTGGTGGTGGTGGTGGTTTGGGTGGTTGGTTGACTTTGGTACTGGGGACTAAGCTTTTTAAATGGAGGGAAACACCCATCTCTGATGTTGTAAGAAGAGTACAATTCTCAGCTCTTCAGAAAAAGCACAGTAGGAACACCAATGAGATCATATATCTTAACAAAAAGGAAAGATGTGTGACAGGAACTTGCCACCTCCCCTCACTCTCACTTGTAATTAAGGCCCAGCCCTCTTCTCAGCCCCCTGCTTTCCTGGGAATTCACGACATTCCAGAGAGAAGCTTTATTTACAACTACAAATTCAGGTGCAAGTTCTCAGCCTCAAACAAAATGGCTTTGTAAGTTTTCTTCCCCACCTCTTCTGTTTGTTTAAATTTCCAAAAGAACCATCTGCCAAGAGTCAAGAGAATCAGAGACTCTTAGAAACTCAGTGAGGAAAGAGACTCTGGAGAACAGTTGATCCAAGTCCCAACCTTTATAAATGAGAAAATGAGGGTCCCAGGGTGTGGAGGCATAGGGCTGGGGAAACAGAGAAAACCCTCTGAGAGGCAGGAATTGAGTCAGCCACTTCGAATATATTAAATCCAACAATTTATGTACAGATTTGGAATAGCTCCTGCTATATGACAGTTGCCCCCAAATGATAACACTATCAGTATTCTTCTCCATGGCATGGCTAAAACCATTTCTATTGTCAATATGCAAACAAGAAAACTAAACCTCAGAGAAGTTAAGTAAACTGTCCAAGGTCACATAGACTGTGAGCTGGGAAGCCAGAATTTGGACCTGGGTTTTTGTCTGGCCTCAGTTACCACATTCTTTCCCTTCTGTGATTCTACCTAATAAGGCCCAGGTGAGAAACGGAACCTGGATTTCTAAGCTTCCCCTTTACCACCACTTGCCTGTACCTCCTGCTTCCACACCAGCAGAGGGGCCTAGGAACAACTAAAACTAAAATGAAAACAAGCTTGAGATCCTTGAATGGGAGAGAAATGTGGTACCCCACAGTGACAGGGACACAACTGTTGACCCCATGGACTATCCCACTTCTGTGGATCCCACCTCTGGAATGAACCCTGCACATGCTGGGAAAGGTAATTTCCAATGGGACCTAAATAGGACCTCCCAACAGCATTCTATCTCCTTTGGAATAAAGCCAAAATGGGGCACAATTCTGGAACTCAGCTCCAACCCTTGCCTTCCTCAGACTCTGGATTCTGAGACTGAGGTCAGCAACTGCTTTAGTATCTTCAGCAGCCCCTTTCCCAAGGAAGGCTGAGCCCTACTGGGTCACAGGCTGTCAGTCTCTCTCCTATAGGGCCCAAATCTCCTCCCTTCTGCCATCCCAAGCTCTGTCCTTTTGGATTCTTTCTCATTCTTTCTGGGATGTTCTCTTGTCACCTGAACGCTGTCTGCACCAGCTCTCCACCTCTGAGCGCTGTCTTGTGCAGCCATCTTTACCTGAAGTGCTACCTCCAACTGTATCAATGCCTGACAAAATTTACAGTCTTCAATGTCTGACTTCAGTCCCTCTTTATGTGGGCCTCTCAGCCTGTACAACCAAGATCACTCCTCTGATCTTGTTTCTTGTTTAAAAGTTATCTGGGCCCATGTCTGATCACCCTTCAGGATGCTGAGTGTACAAAGGGAGGTTCTATAAGACCAAATGTACTGGCACATAAAGGGCACTCAGCACGTGGGCCAAGTAACTGCCCACACCCTTCAACCCTCTTTCTTTCCCACAGGTCTTGGCTTCCTGATTCCCATTCTTCAATGAGCCAAATGCTTATGGAAAAATCCTGCCCATCCCTATTCCTAAGATTATGTAACTAGTAACCCCAGGGGATGTGACAAAGTCAACTAGTATCATGCCTGTGGGATTAGATCCTCAAACTCAGTGTACAGACTGGAAAATGAAAGCACAGGGAGGTTGAGTGGCTTCCTTGGGCTGTCAGGAAATAAAAGGCAGGAGCACAGGGAAACTGATCTCAGTACAGGTCATCTCCATGCCCAGAGGCACTTTGACCTTGAGGCTTTCATCCCTTCAGGGGAGGTAGGAAGAGAGTGGCCGTTTGTTTCTCAGTGAATTTTCTCTTTGCAAGTCAATCATTAAAATCTTCCTCTGGATCTGACCATCCTTTTGTTGCCTTTTAATGACTGGTCTGGTCAAACAGGAGGCTCTTCATCCACCAACAGTTGTCCCTGAGTACGAAGCTGGAGGTCCCAGGGGGTGGTGTGAGATTGGAAAAGGATGTCTGGAAACCTAGGTTCTACCTAAGTGACATCTTTCCTGGGTACACATCTGGGAGGAGAGTCACTGGGTCCCAGGAGCGCCTGTGGCTTTAGACCATGAAACCATTTTCCAAAGTGTTTGTAACAGTCACTTCTCCCACCAGCAGTCCTCCATGCCCCCACCCCACCTGCAGCCTCTCTAGGTGTTGAGTTAGGATGAGTGGCATTGGAAGGCACTTACTTCATGGGGATGTTTCTGCTTCTCTCACACTCAGATGTCAACAGCTGGCTGCTCACCTTTGGATTCCAGCTGCATAACGTGATCCCTGGATATCCCAAACCAGACATGGATGCCATGGAGCCATCCTATGAGCTCGTGCATACACAGATGAAAACCCAGGAGTGGGACAACAGCAAGGTAACTCCCCAGACAGCACCTCACACCTCAAGGATTTCAACATTGCAGGAGGGTCCTGCCAGCTTTGCAGGAGACCTGGGGGTCAGTGATGGAAACCATGGCAGTGACTCTACAGGGCCTGCCAGAGAACATTCAGCAAACACTTAGCAACTCTATTGCTAGGCAGGCCACTGGGACCCAGCTGCAGGGGCACATAGACGCTCAGAAGCCATAAGAAGGCACTTTGTGTATTACAATAAGTGAGGAGTTTCACAAAAATAAAAAGCCTCTGTCAATATCTGGGCAAAGGTGCAGGGGGAGAAAGTGTGTTCTAAATACAAATGTGATATTTTCTGAGCACCTAATGCACCTGGCCTCGTGTGAGGTATTCTGCATACGTTAACTCAAAAATATCCCACTGTGTAACTGTTCTCGATTTACAGATTTAATGCCTGAGGGTTTTCGATACCACACAGCAAGGAAGGGCTGGGGCTGGGATTCAAACCCAGGTTTCTGTTCTGTGTCATCTTGCTGAGTGCCAGGCCTGGTATACTGTAGGTGCCCCAAAAGCATTATTTTTTTTTGTCTTCCTTTTATGACCCCATTTCAAATACAGAATTATACAGCTGGAAAGATCTTTAAAAACAGTCTAGCCCCACCTGCTCACTCTTTGCATTCATTTTTTCCCTTCTCTGTCCCTTCTCCTTCCACTGCCATTCATAAATTCTGTACTAGAAGCGGACTCCATGCCCAGCCCTTTGCTGCGCCCAGTGAGTGCAGAGATGAATAGGACTTTGAGGGGATCCTAGCCTGGAGGACAACAGACTGTGGAGGAAAGTGGGGTTGCCAGGTGGCATCCTGCTAGTGATTGGAAGCTTTTGCATCCCTATTTCTTATTTCAGACTGATTCCTTTAGGCCTCAACTTAGCCGTCTGTATTGTCCTCTTGCAAAGCGCTCCCCACACGTAGCTCCAACTAGTTAAGTTCTGGGTCTCAATTAATACCCAGCCTACAGGCTAGCACAATATAGGTACACAGAAAACTTTTACTGAATGAATAAATGATTGAAAGAAGAAAAGAGCCCATTTTACAGATGGGATGAGGGTTCAGAGAGAAACTTACCCAAGGACACTCAGCTGGGAAGGTGCAGAGGAAGGTGCTGAAAATTCGGGGTTGCCCAACCACAGAGCCCATCCTCTTTCTGCCAACACCTACTCCCCAGCACCCTGGCCCTGCCCCAGATGTCCCAGCATCTGCAGTCCCCAGGGATGATTCTACAGCGTAGCTCTTCCTCCCCCACCAGGTTCCCTGCTGTATTCCTCAGTCCCTATCTCTGACTGCCTGTTTGCCAACCTCGCCTGTCAATGCATTATTGATTTCCGCCCTTGGCAAGCATCGGAGATCTTTGTTGTTGAGCACTCCAGCTTTCGTGAAACTCTAGGAAATAATTGTTCACAGACAGGGTTCTATTAATTATAAAGAGGACTTAATTTCAGTGGGAGGCTGATGGGCCTGTTTCTAAAGCCATTTCCCTGAGTTGCTGATGAGGCCCTGGAGCCATCCCAAACATGGCTTCCCTGATCTCCAGAGCCATGGAAGGGACAGTAGATGGTACACCAAGTTGGCAGGGCCCAGCCTGTCCCCCAAAGCAGCCAAGTGCGGGAATACCTGAGGACCCCCAAGGAAGCACAACAGAGGCCCTTCTGGCAATTTATCTGTACACATGGTTAAGAACACTAAAGCAGAGTAAGCACATTGATTCAGATCGCCACTTTTCCTCTTTTTCTGCATTTCTTGCCATTCTGCCCCTAATATCACCCCTCACATCCTTCAAGTCCCAGCTGAAGCATGAACCTGTCCTCAAAACCCACCTTCTCTCTGTCCTCTCCCTTCAGGCTGGGATACTTCTGAGCCTTGTTTCTCCCTATAATAACAGCCCTTGAAACCAAGCTTCGAGAATCAGACAGAACTGGGTTTGAATGTTGACTTGATGTCAGTCATATAACTATGAACTATTTATAACTTCTTAGAGCCTTAGTTTCCTTCATTTAGAAGTAAAATTGGATAAAGTTATTATGATGATCAAAAGAAACAGTGATAATTATTTAGCTTAAAAAGCAAGAAATGTTAGCTATAGCTCCTATTATTATCTCTCTTAGACCACCAGTGGTCACATTTGATGGCAATTATTGTTGTCACATCTGACTTTCCCCATGAAACAATGAATTCTTTCAGGGCAAAGGTGATGTCTGACTTACTTGAGTCCCTCCAGTGCCCAGAAAAGGACCTGGCCCAGAATAGATGCTCCTTGAACAATCTCTGAATCAAAGGGTGTAAATGGTGGATAATGGACAGCTAGCCATCTTGTGGTCAGCAGTAGAGATACAGGCTACTGGTTAATAAATATGTACAGACTTGATTTATTTAAGTGGATTTTCCATATTCTTGTGGTTTGCTTTTTCCCTTTGTCTTATTCTCTCTCTCTTGCTCTCTCTCTCTCTCTCTCTCTCTCTCTCTCTCTCTCTCTCTCTCTGTCCTCATCAGTCTATCCTTGGGGTACAATGTGAAGTGCAGAAGCAGCTCAAGGCCTTCGTCACCTTAGAACGCTTTGATCAGCTCTATGGCTCCACAATCACCAGCTGCCAGCAGGCCCCCGAGACAAAGAAGTTTGCATCCAGTGGCTCAGTCTTTGGCAAGGGGGTCAAGTTTGCCTTGAAGGATGGTCGAGTGACCACAGACATCATCAGTGTGGCCAACGAGGATGGACGGAGGGTTGCTGCCATCTTAAACAATGCCCACTACCTAGAGAACCTGCACTTCACCATTGACGGGGTGGACACCCACTACTTTGTGAAACCAGGGCCTTCAGAAGGTGACCTGGCCATCCTGGGCCTCAGTGGGGGACGGCGAACCCTGGAGAATGGGGTCAATGTCACCGTGTCCCAGATCAATACCATGCTTAATGGCAGGACTAGACGCTACACAGACATCCAGCTCCAGTACGGGGCACTGTGCTTGAACACCCGCTATGGGACGACGTTGGACGAAGAGAAGGCGCGGGTGCTTGAGCTCGCCCGGCAGAGAGCTGTGCGCCAGGCTTGGGCCCGAGAGCAGCAGAGACTGCGGGAAGGGGAGGAGGGCCTGCGGGCCTGGACAGAGGGGGAGAAGCAGCAGGTGCTGAACACAGGGCGGGTGCAAGGCTACGACGGCTTCTTCGTGATCTCTGTCGAGCAGTACCCAGAACTATCGGACAGCTCCAACAATATCCATTTCATGAGACAGAGCGAGATGGGCCGAAGGTGACAGAGAGGACCAAGGCCTGGACTTCTTGCCAAAGACAGCTACTCTTTTGTGGCCACATACCTGACTGTGTTGTACTTTAAAAAAACAAAAATCCTTTTTTTAACAAGTGCAGAAAACAAACAAAAAGATACTGGTTGCATTGTTAATTCATGCAACATTCTTTTTTTTTAAGAAAAGAAAAAGACACAAATTTGGCCTTCACACATTTTTTGCAAAGAACAGAAGGTTTTTTTCTTTTTCTGTAGTGTGATCACAATGAAAACTCTGTCTTTTGTTCCCCTTATCCTTGAGGAATTTTTCCTGTTGTTCGGGGTATGTTTCTTCTCTCTTTGGGGCACACATCTAGAGTGTGTCCTCGTCTGTCCCTAGGTACCCAGTGTGATGTGAGACATGAGTGTCTGTGCTAAGGTGTCTCATGTGCACCCCTTTCTTCTTTGACAGGGGGTTGTGCAGGAGTGAGGGTGCAGAGTGTAATGGGCCTGGAGGAACTCAGGAGCTTTTGCTGGGCTCCTGCAGGGGACTGGTGGCTTTTTACTCACTGTGTTTTGTACCTCCAGAGGACCACAGATGGTTACATCTTGCTCTGGAAAATGTCATGATGTTGTTCAGCACCTTTTCAAGCTGCCCCAAACTCCTGTCCAGGCTTTATATTTTAATGCTAAATGAAACCCTCTTCCCCTTTTGCAAATTTCGTGTAGTTGTTGGTGCCACCCCCATACTGGGATAGAGAACACGTCTCCCCACTCCTTCCCCCAGTCTGGTAACATAACATCCTGGGGCTATGAGCCCCATCCTCTCCAAGAGGTGACAGCACCCAGGATGTCTGTGATTGGTTGATCCTCCATGATGTCCCTTGCTCATCTCCTCCTATCTCCCAAAGCCAGATGTGAGAACCAGCACTGCACAGTGAGCCCTCCATGGGGGCACCATTTCCAGGGAGGGGAAAGAAACCCTCTCCCCTTGACTTCAGGTATCTTCCTTCCATTGTTCAGCTGCCACTCCTGAGAAATAGGCATGTGGAGAGAGGTGCTTGGTGGCCTTTGATCCTGGAAAGATGCATAAGAAAAAAAAAGTCAGCCAAAGAGAGGACTCGGCAAAGGCCTGAGCCAGGAATCCTTCTAACCAGCTCGGAAGTCTCCTCTGCCTCCCTTGTGTAGACCATCCCAAAGCTGGGGTGCAGCAGCCTGGGCATCCAGGAAATTCCCTCTAGAGAAGCCCTGCTAGGGTTTTTGTTGTTGTTGTTTGGTTTGGGGCTAGGGTTTTTGTTGTTGTTGTTGTTGTTATTGTTGTTTTGTTTTTTAAGATAAGGGAGAGAGAGCTAATTGGGTGTGATCTGTCGGTGTCATTCAATCCCACCAGGATCAGGGACAGTTTCTAAGACCAGTACACATATTAGGAGGCCAGTCTGACATGGTTCCCTTGGAGACCTAGGAAGGGACCCTGAGCAGGTGCAGCCCACAGCTGGAGGGCTGCCCAGCAGGACGCAGCAGCCAGCAGGCCAAGGGAAGGGAGGAGGGCAGAGGAAGGTAACAGCATGAGCTGGAAGCTCCTTGTTCAAGGATTCCATTCCTGGTGCATCTGCCTAATTACCATTGTCATTACCACTCACAGGAGGCTCTGGGAGACAGGAGGGGAAGCCAAATGCTTCCTTTTGAGCTGGAATTCTTAGAAAATGGGACTTTCATGGGTTACATTTACATTAAGTGTGGAGAATGAGTTCTGAGTCAGCTATTCCCGTGGAAACCTTGTTGGACTGATAAGCTCATGGCACCTTTATAGCCTTATTCACAGAGTCTTCAGAATATGAAATGAGTTCATGAAACCAAGAAGGGCTCTTACTGCATGAGAATTGGAGCAACATGTAGCTTGGGTTCTGCCTGGCAGAGGGAGGCATCCAAAGCTTCTCGAGGAGGGGATATCTCGCCTTACGTCATCCCACTGGGATAAGAGGATGTGTTTCGCTAAGTGCTCTTCCTGTTTCCAAAAAAAAGTCACACTGCCTCAACAGTGTGCTATGGCCTGTTTGTCCACTGGTGGCCCATCATCTCTGGATCCAGAGCTCTGCCAAATCAGATTTGCTGTTTCTCAGGTCCACTGTGTGTGGCATGAGCTGGCGATTGGGGCTCCCATCTGACAGGATTGTTCTTGGATGGGATGGAAAGCAGTTTGACCTAAAGAACACAAGTTTTTGTTTTTGTTTTTGTTTAATCCAAAAGAGACTTATGCCGCTCAAAATTGTACTCTTGCTGTAAGGAGCCCTTGGCAAAGCTCTCCTGCCTATTGACCTAGTTGGCCAGTCCCATCCTGGCTGCCTGACATCATCAAGACCTGCTGTGGATGTCTTCTTGGGGCCAAGACAGCATGTGGCTCAAGGGAATCATCTTCCTATTCCTCCCTAGCCTCTGTCCCTCTTCAGTTGCCCGCCCCCAAGAGAATAGAGTAGACTTTTAAGGATCAAAAACACAAAATTATTGGGTATTATTTTATTTAAGGGAATGATCCCATACTTTCCCTGGGCTACACACCACCAAGGAGGCACAGCTTCTGGGGGGAGGAGTGGTGAGGACAAGTGGAAGCATCCCAAAGCTTTAGAGAAGGAGCTTATCTGCAAGGTGGGCAGTGCCAGGTATCTCCATTTCACACTGGTGCTGTCATGTTGGAGCAGGTGCTATGGCCTTGGCCCATTTGAGCTCATTTCCACTGGGGCTGGCAGGTGACTCCAGGCCTCACCTTTTGGTCTGTCCTCCCACTTAGATCACCAGTCCCAATCCCATACCAAGGATGAATTTGAAAGCATAAGCAGAGTTCCTGTGCCTACGTAGTATGTTCTAATCAATAAATCCCATCACTCTTGGTACTGATCAACCAAAATCTGTCCATTCGATAACATGACCAGGCCTCCCACACTGGCCCAGGTCATGATTCTGCAAGAGGTTGGCTTCTGACCCTGGAAGAAGATTTAGTTTTGAATAGTTCCTGCCTTCTCCACAACTGCCAATCAGCCCCTCATCTTTTGTTCCTCTGCCACTACCTTAAATAAGACCTTACAAATTCTCCAACTTGTCTTTCATACAGTGAGAGTTCCTTTGTACCCACCCTCCACACAGACATCCCTGGAGGCAGAGCAGTGACAGAAGGAGAAAGGCAAGGAACTCCAGGGTAAACCACACTTTGACAGCCCCCGACACTTGGTTCAAAATGACTCACTGGGAACCATTCAAAGACCTCACCAGGGCCTGGCTTCTACTTAGGGATGGAAGGTCTGAAATAATCCCCAAGAAACTGACTGGAGGTTGAGAATGGCCAGAAGGTGTGCTTCCAAATAATCAGGGTGGGCTGGGTCTTGGGCACAGAGGATGGAGAGGCAAGGGAGGTAAGCTGGGCCGTGTGCCATAGACACTGAAAGAGGAACCCCAGTTCTTTAAAAAACCAGAAAAACCGTTTTCATTGTAACTTTTAAGTCACCTTTAAAGATGGCAGAGATCTTCATTCTGCAAAGACAGGGCTTTTGATGTGAAATCTTAGAATACACTTTTACCATTTGCAGCAGCCACATGCGAGAACAGTGATGCTAAGATTTGTGGCCACTGGTCCTCAGCAGGGACCCAAGCTTTGGTGTTTGATCACCAGAGTCTATTATCCATTCCTCACAGCAGCTACTCAGCCAAGAAGGTGACTCCTGGTCCCAGTTGAGGGGGCCTGCTGCCTGAGGGGTCCCAGAAGGAACCCAGTCTCTCCTTTCCCTTGGGCTCCGCTCTCGGACTGAAAGCTCTCCATTTGAGGCACATCATTCCCAGCTAGATTCATGCACCTGTCTATATTTTATTGGAGGGGAGGGAATATTTAAAAAAAAAAAAAAAAGAACTCTGTAGTTCAAGGCCCTTTTATTTAACCTTCCAAAAACAGCAAACTCATTTCAAAGACTCATTGCTCAGGTGACAGAGAGAAACTTTATCTTCTCCAACCTTTACATTCTCAAAACCAGCCTTGTGTACTTGACTGCCCCAGACACTGGTGCACTCTTAGGTTTCATTGTGGATGCACAAGATCAGAGTCAGGGAGACCTGGGTGGGGCCTTTCATCATGTTTCTTTCCCCCTCCGGAATGCCAAAGGCATAAGACTGGATGACCTCCTGGTCCCCAAGAAAATGTGATTTCTTCTGAGGGCAGACTGCCCAGGGAGGCCTGATCTTGTGCAGGCTCAGCTCTCCTGGCAGAAGCTGAGTTGCAGGTGTGTGGCAGGGCCTCGGCAGCCCCAGATTCACCCCCCCACACCAGAATCCCACTTTTCTAAATCTGCCTGTTGTTCTGAGGACTTCTGAACCCGCAGCTTCGGCAGAAGGACTGTTCCAAGCTGCCTCTGGACGACCAACACTGGAGACTCTGGCCTTACCATGTGGAAATAGTTTTCCTGAAGTCTGGAACTAATTTTGAGAAGTTTTTTTCTCAACACTTTTGTGTTTCTAACACTGTATTCTTGACTGTGTAAATACCAACAAGGCTGTAAATAAATGCAGATGTAGATACCTTCTAGGAAAAAAAAAGCATAAAAACAAAACCAGAAGTGATCCCGTGTAGCCTTCGTTGACAAATAAAAGAATATTTTGTGTTTAAAAGTGTTTGGTGGCCTCTGTTGGGCATAGTAGCTCTTCTCAGGATGATTGGGAAGAAGTCTCAGTCCAAGGTCCCACAGTCACTTGTAAACCTTCCAGGTCACAACTGTCAAAGAAAGGGACCTCCAGAGGGTCAGCACAACCCCAAGTCTCATCTTGCAACGAGCCAGGACAAATGTCCAAGCACCTCTGACACAACCTTGTGCTGCACAGCCCAGGCTACATCCTGCCCCACCGATGCCCTCATTGGCCTCAAGGACAGACTCTGAGGGGCAAGAGAGTCAGCCCCTGTCCTGGAGAGAGAGCCAGCACTCCACCACCAGGCACACTGCCATGTCCACTGTGCCACTGTCTTCCACAGGGTGCTGCCCTTTGAAAATAAAAGGATACACAGTTGTCATACGATGACTAGTTAGGAACTAGAACCACACACAACTTGGGAGGAAAGAAAGGAAATTTCTTTAGCATTGGGGTTTTCCCCTACCCTGTGTTCTCAATGGGGTTTTGTTGTTGTTTTACTCTAAGGTGGTTATTATAATCACAGCATACAGTAGTGTTTTGTTTTTTGTTTTTAACATGCTTTTCTCACTTAACCTCATACTTAATCTATCAGTCCTAGGAATCAGGGAGGACAGCTGGCTGCTTAGAAAAGTACATTTACTAAGCCTATCTCCTGGTGCAAATGGCAATATTGTGAAAATTCAAATAGATGTCTTTTGAGGGCAGAAGGCCTTATTTCGCTCCCTTGGCCCAGGACCAACTCACCACCAGGCCCTCAAGGAAGGAGCTCCAAGCTGCAATCCCCTTCCTTCCATGCAGGCTGCAGTGGGTGACCGGAGGGGTCCTCCAGCACCACAACCCAGACCACTGCACTGTGGTGGTGCCAGGAGGCACCAGCAGTGGTAGGAAAAACCCTGCTTCAAAGAAAGGGACCTCCAGAGGGTCAGCACAACCCCAAGCCTCATCTCGCAAGACAAATGTCCAAGCACCTCTGACACAACCTTGTGCTGCACAGCCCAGGCCACATCCTGCCCCCAGTCAGGCCAGACTGGGTGCAGACATGGCTCCAGCACTTAGAGATTTTCAGCAAGTCATTTAACCCCTGTATGCCTCCGGCCTTCCGTCTACATGCACGTACCGTGGTGCTTGAGTCCTTTAAAGGAAAGAGCACATTGCTCAGAGGTCATGGATTTGGCACATAAGTTCAGTGCCTCCCCACTTCCCACCCTCACCCAGGGCAGCCACCCACCCTACATGCCCACCTTTCTAGTATTCTTTCTACTAACAACACTGCTCCTCAAACGTAGGTCTGCATCAGAATCACCTTGAGAGCTTATTAAAGCAGAGTTTCTGGGCCCCACCCCCAGAATTTCTGAGTCAGTAGGTTTGTCCCAAGATTTTGCATTTCCAGCGGGTTTCTAGGTGATGCTACTTTGAGAATCATTACTAACTATACTACCCTTCAGGCTGTGTACAGAATAAGCTGCTTAGCCTGGCACTTCAGATGCCCTTAGCCAAGGCAACCTACCACTTCCACCAATGGGGAATCCCAGGCCCTCCTCCACCTACCTCTCTTGTCCCCACCTACACCACACTTGGCTTCATGGGAGAGTGCACAAGCCCCAGGTACGCAGTTTCACACCTGTGGGCCTTTGCACACACTTTTCTTCAAACCCAGATGAAATAAACTCCCAGAGCCCTCTGGTAAGTCCTCCCCTGACCCCAGAAGGCCCTCAATGCACATCTGTTAAGGGCCTGTACTTTTTCAATACTGGATTATTCAGGGCCTAAACTTCTCAAGGTCCACCAAGGCTGTCACTAATCTTCCATGTGTCCTCAGCACCCAAAACAGGTTACCAGCAGTGTGTCACCTAAGGCCAGCCTTCCCTTTGCCTTAGGGGTCCACTCCTTCTGATGTATCTGAGAAAGAAGGGCATCATCTCCTGTATGGAGGCCTGGCCTCCTCTTAACTAACTGTTCCACCTTGCTCAGCTGCTCTCTGGGCACAGCTGCTGCATCAAGGCCTCCAAAAAAGAAGAAGGGGCAGAGAACAAGGCAATCTCCTTCCCAGCATGCCCCAGGTCCTCATATCCCTCCACTGGCCTGCCCTCAAAGTTGGGACTTGCCCAATCCACTAGAGGCCTTGGAGAAAATTATAACATGTAAGGAAAAAGACTTTAAAAGTGAGCACTAAATGTATCTTTTCCCATATCTAAAGGAATATCGAAGAAGTTAAATCTCTTGACAGTGGTCCTCCACTTGGTCACACCCCACACCAAACTTGTTCCGGTCCTCATGCTGGCACGTCTATGGGAATTTCTTCTTCGAACCCCCATATTAAAATCTCTCTTCACCATTTGGGAAACTATCCCTGCCCAAGGGCTCACCCATGTCCTACCAGGCAACCCAGCATTTACTTCTCAAGCCTGATCAGTTTAGAATAAGCCCAGGTGGGCTCCAGCATCTACCTCCCTAGATCAGTGCCTTCCAAGGTCTCGTAGGCAATAAGAGTTGCAAACACATTCCACATCCTTTCCAGAGTCCAACACATATGTTGGAGATTCATACCTTGCAAGAATAAATATCCCTTCTCAGGGAATAAAAATCTGCCCTGTAAGTTGCAAGTCCATCCGATCCATTGGGACTCAGTAGCAGACCTTGTATGTAGATCTTTCAAAATGTGCTCCCTCCCAGGACCACCAGATATATAAAGGGCACCCACTCCTGGGCCAAGATCCAGCAGAAATTTTGAAACTCCTTCTGATGAACACCTACATTCTTTTTTTTATTTTTTAATTCTAATTTGTTACATATGACAGGAGAATGATTACAAATCATATTACACATATAAAGTACAATTTTTCATATCTCTGGTTACATACAAAGTATATTCACATCATTGGGACACCTACATTCTTATATAGGGTAACAATCTATATGGTATGGGAGTGGAAAAAATAGACTCATTCTTACAGATACTTTTATTATATGACTGAGCAGATGGATAGATGTAGAGAGAATGTCTGATGCATGAATAAATGCCAAATCCAGCCCCTCGTCAAGGCTTGAAGAAGTTGTAGTTAATCAACTGTATGTAAGACAGCTCATCCCAACCAGCCTTAGAAGCCCTTAAGATATAATAGGACCTTTTGGTTATAAATATCATCATCCAATCAAAGTCTAGAAGGACTCAGAAAATACTGCATTACCAAGGTAGGAACATGCTTTGTGTCACTACTTGAGAAGCCTAAGTGTCCAGGCTTGCCAGAACCCAGAAGTCACGGGGAGAGGGCAGAGGCCCAGTTAAGAGGCACCAGAAGTGTGTGCACCATCTTGTAGGTGTGGAGTTGCCAACTGTAGAACCGAAGCAGGGCAAGGATGGCAGGGCCTCCAGCAGCCCCAGGGAAGGGTATAAACTTGATGGTGTGGGGATACTGGGGGGATGAGAGGAGAACCCCATCAAGGGGCAGGCCTAAACCCCAAGGGGAGGTGGGCTCCAGCATCTACCTCCCTAGATCAGTGCCTTCCAAGGTCTCGTAGGCAATAAGAGTTGCAAACACATTCCACATCCTTTCCAGAGTCCAACACATGCGTCCAGCCAGAGGAGCTGGAGGGGCAAGCAAGGCAAGACTTCTAACCTGACAGAGAGATACCTAGGGGTGCACATTTGACTGACAGGTTTGATTATAGGAAGAACCAGGCCCTGGGGACCTTAAGCTCATCCCCTGCCACAGCCTTGATTCTATGACAGTGGGCTCACTCATGCCCTAGCTGCCATGGCTTAAGTTCTCCCTGGCAATCAGCCTCTGGTGTGGGCTAGAAACTCAGACTCCAGCTAGCTCAGGGGTGGACAGCAGGGGAAGGGGAGTGTCCAAGTGCTAAGAAAGTGATCCCAACAAAAACCTTTTTCCACAGGGCCTAGAAAAGAGAGCTCAGGATGGGCTGGGTGGGGAGAGGAAGGCATCCTAGAAAATATTCTTGGGAGAGGTGGGTTTAGTGGGAAGGGATTAGATAAGAGGGGAAGCCATTCCAGCAAAAGGAAGGCATGCTGCTCATGTGGGCCTCTGAACCCGGCTCCTGTGAACCTAGTCCAGGGACACACGAAGTCAAAATGTCCCAGCATGCCTCAACTTTTTCATACGACAAAATACACAGAGGTTGATGCTTACGTGGAGCATAAGCCCCTCCCGTCCCCGCACATGGGTGTCTCTGGGTTTGGTTTACCATAGTTGGCAGTTACATGCAAATCCCATCC